GCCTGTTAGGAAATTTCAGAAATGTCTGACGATAACGTTTTATAAAGTCGCCCCGTAAAGTGAAGCGGGCTTCAGTTACTGAAGGACTGTTATTTCGAGATGCGATAAAAAACCAAAATAAAGTGCGATACTTGTGCTTTAAATATCACTAGCAATCTAACTACAAGACATGTGCAAGGTATTTTCTTGCAAAAAGTTCGAGCCCATACAAAATAAGCAAACTTTTTGCGTGCAGTTTTTACCAAGACTTCATGCCGATCATTTACCTTTTGTGAATTATTGAGCGTGTCGAATAAGAATGCTCTTACAAACAGCTTTACAAATTATGAATAAAAGTGAGCAAACTGATCAAGGGAAAAAGTTGATCTATTATAGAACCACACAAATTGTACATTTCTCGGCGCTTTTCCCACTTTCCAACTTGCGTTGCCACTGTCAAAGCATCAGTTATTGCCAGGGCCGTCAAGATGGGATAAGTTGCCCCAGAACCTCGTGGTCAGGGGACCTCAAAAAGTAAAGAAGTTCATTTTAAATGGAATTGATTAAAAGTCCATAAGTAGCACGGTGGAATATTTTTAAGCTTCTATTCATACCCCATCTTTTTGGCGTATCAAACTGCCTATCTCTATCAAGTTTCATGCTGGTATCACAATCTAATGGTTAAATTGTGACAATTACTGCTAAGAGGTTTGGAATCTAGTATCCCAGTCTATAAATAGCACAAGGGAAATTTTTCGGCGTCTATTCGCATCCTATCCTTTTCAGCGTATCAAACTGCTCATCTCTACAAAGTTCCATACTGATGTCGCGATCTAAAAGTTAAATTATGACAATCACTCCTTAGAGGTCTGGGACCTGGTACCCCAGTCTATAAATAGCATAAGTGGTATTTTTCAGCGTCTATTCGCTTCCTAACTTTTTGGCGTATCAAACTGCCTTTTACTACCAAGTTCCAAGCTGGTATCGCGATCTAATGGCTAAATTATGTCAATTACTGCTTAGAGGTCTAGGACCTGGTATCCCAGTCTATAAATAGCATAAGGGGGATTTTTCAGGGTCAATTCATATCCTATCTTTTTCGGCGTATCAAACTGTCTTTTACTACCAAATTCCATGCTGGTATCGCGATCTAATGGCTAAATTATGTCAATTACTGCTTAGAGGTTTGGAACCTAGTACCCCACTCTATAAATAGCACAAGGGAAATTTTTCGGCGTCTATTCGCATCCTATCCTTTTCAGCGTATCAAACTGCTCATCTCTACAAAGTTCCATACTGATGTCGCGATCTAAAAGTTAAATTATGTCAATTACTGCTTAGAGGTTTGGAACTTAGTACCCCACTCTATAAATAGCACAAGGGGGATTTTTCAGGGTCAATTCATATCCTATCTTTTTCAGCGTATCAAACTGCCTATTACTACCACGTTCCATGCTGGTATCGCGATCTAATGGCTAAATTATGTCAATTACTGCTTAGAGGTTTGGAACCTAGTACCCCACTCTATAAATAGCACAAGGGGGATTTTTCAGGGTCAATTCATATCCTATCTTTTTCAGCGTATCAAACTGCCTATTACTACCACGTTCCATGCAGGTATCGCGATCTAATGGCTAAATTATGTCAATTACTGCTTAGAGGTTTGGAACCTAGTACCCCACTCTATAAATAGCACAAGGGGATATTTGTCAGCGTCTATTCACACCCCATCTTTTTCAGCGTATCAAACTGCCTATCTCTATCAGGTTTCATGCTTGTATCATGTTTTACGCAATTTGTAACTTTTTATCTTCTTACAGACCTCACTTTGGCTGAATTGACTATATAAATCTGAATGCGTCACTCGCCCCAGCCTCTTTTCGCACGACCTACTCGCAAAAGAACCCCAGAAACCCCTATTTGTGGGCTCCAAATTAAAAAACCAAACTTTTTTTCGAAATCAGCGATGATTAGTCTACCAGAATCAACAATAAAAAACAATTCTTTTTTTTCAATTCAGTGGCACTTTAACCAAACGTAATTTTAGCTCAGTGAAAGTAAAATAAGAGATAGTGTAGGGTCTCTCGCTGAACCTCAGATAAGATATTGGCGTGGTATTACAAATTAGTGTGACGATTTTCAAGGAATTACAACTATGATCCAATGCTATGTTTTAAATCGTTAAAGGGTCAAGGCTTTATAAGGGCTTGGTGTTAATGTATTGCATTAGTTTGAATGTATTTTTTGAGTTATGTTGGCTCATATCATGAATGTTATGTTGAGAATGAACGAAGTGTATTCATGTGCTCGAACCTGCGCTGCATGAGATAGACTTTGTCTATGTACACCCAGAAGCTATGATAAGAGACAAACTCCTTTATAAGGATGCATTGATTCTTTTTCGCCTTGGGGCTATTTTTCATTAAAGATTTTCACCAAGCCGTACTGCCCTTAAAGTCTGTGCTCGAGTGGCAAAGGTAGCGTGATAGATGTACATTATTGTCAGAATCATTCCAGGATTTCATTAATAACTCACAAGCTGTAACGACGAATGATTTTTGTCAGTGTTTCTGGATCGATGTTACCATAGTTGCTTTGTAGCCCATCCGTTATAAGATCTTTCCTTATTTAGACACGATTTTTTTCTAAATTGAAAAGAACTATGCATTTGAAAATGCTGCAAAGCTGCGCCAAACTGTTCTTCTTGGTGTATTTGTGTTGCTCCGTATTATTTGATGAGCAATTGATACATCTTCAATCATACGGTACCAAATTTGCGCATATTTCCCACTCACGTGTCATTCCAGCGCGCTTATTTGTTCTATTCCACAATCTTCACATCATATCTGTTTTTTGCAGGTTCATAAGCTCCTCCTCATCGTCAGATTTTAATGACTGTTCGAAACTCACCGCGGTGTACTCAAGTGGTAGCAAAGGCAATGGCACTTGCAGCATATATGAGCCTTTGGCGTGTGAAATGGGAGATTTGTCTTCGAAGCTTGCCAACATCTCAGTCGGTATTGCTAACAGTAACAGTCTCAAAAAACCATTCCGACTTATTGATGGGAACTTAGCCGTAGAAAACGTTTTTGGCCATGCACTTGTTATTCGTGATGTTTCAGGATCTCCAGTTGCTTGTACTAACATTTTAAAAGGAGGTTCTGTTTCTCTAGCAGCCTCCTTTTCATCAGGTAAACACGATGGTGTTAGCGGCTCAGTATCATTCAAGCAAGATTCCCCATACCATCCTACAGTCATCAAATTTGCGATAGATGGCCTAGCAAAAAAAGCCAATGGAATTCATGTGCACGAGTATCCCATTCCCAGTCCTGCCCCTGTTTCCAGCCCTTGTGCAAATGCAGTTGTTGGAGGGCATTTGAATCCATACAAAGTGGTCAAGGATTCCAGCTACCCTGTTGATGGGGCTAATGGTAAGCATTACAGAGTCGCTCAGTTTTTGCCCGCACAGTTTTCAGTTTTGTCGTTTATCCCCCCCCCCCTCCCCCTACCTCCACTGTCATCCAGTTTTTAACGCTAGCATTAGTACATTTGAATAGCATGTGACCCCAACGAGGAATAGGTGCAAAAGACCAAGCTAAAACCTTTCGCAGTAAAAAATTCAAGATTGTGTAAAAAGTAGAGCAATTTGAGCGCATACCAATATTGGTACAGCAGCAATTTTCCAGTTTATTATTACTAGTGTAAAATATTTTTCTGTTTTAATTTATATCAATGTGGTCCTGCTCTTTCATGTAATCTTGAAGGCAAAATTTGCCAAGATATATATCTTGATATGATTATCTTCAAATCAAGACTCAATATAGCAGACAGGTCGTTTAAGCAGTGAGACCAAATAGTATTGCCTATAATTTGTTCAGTATATGACCTTTCTCTCTAAGGTATTAATATTCACATAAATTTAAGCCGGTTTTATATCATGTTTCTTTTCTTTGGACAGTTTATTGAATTTCTTAAATGAATTTTTAGTTACAATGGACAAATACGAAGTTGGCGACATAAGTGGCAAGTTTGGAAATTTAGTAGGATTGTCATCAGTGCATAAAGAAGCCGTCGATGTACAGATGGACCTGTTTGGTCGGTACGGCATTTTGAACCGGGGATTAGTTATTCACCGGAACGATGCCTCCGGCTCCAGATGGGTTTGTGCAAATATCCTCCCGGACGCGTCGTCAAAGCAGCTGTCCGCAACCGCAAATTTTACTACAACCTCTGGTTTACAGGGAACCGTGAATTTGGTATGTACAAGCTTTATTCAGAATACACACACATTGTTGAAACCCGTTTATAAGAAACAAGTGTTACAGTCACCGAAAGTTTGAGAAGATTTTGCAGATACTGCCCATATTTGTTTAAAAAATTCTTAATTTTTCCGTTTATTATCATGAACTGAAAGCCAAAAGGCATATTTTTAACAAAATTGGTACAATTCGCAAATCTCGCCGTCGTGAAACAAAATTCACGATGAACACAGAATTGAATTCTAAGGCTGCTTCAAGTACGGTTTTGACTGGATCCGATTTAATGTTCTTTGAAACTTCGATTCATTTCTTCAATACGTTGCTGCTTACCTCAGATATTGTGCTTGCATTGTTTAGGTATGCATAGATGATGCAAATATGACATGCAAATTTATCTAATCAAAATTAATTTGCCAAATACTCGTTTCTCAACTGAGAAACTTTAACTTCCTAAAGGCCCAAAGCCTACTTTAAATACCTTTTCTGCCTGTAGATTACTTTTACTTCGATTTTCTAAGAGGAAGTAGCAAATGCAAATCTTGTGAAACTTGAGAAAGTTTGCCGCCATCCCCTGCGGACAAACGAACTAGCCTCTCCCAAAGTCAATTTTGTTGAAGCGGTAAGGCATTTGTCTACTGCGAGGGCAAATCTAATCTTTTCAGATTACTACCACTGCATCACCTCTCTATTTAATGTGCAGGCGTTTACAATACCAGTCACAACGGTACTGTTATTTCAACGAAAAGCAAACCTGAAGTACGCTATTGGATGGAGAGTTTTGACTTTTCAAACAAATCTATTATTTTTCCTTCACCCTCTATTATCTCCGTCGCAGTTTAGTCTCCTTCGCAGTTTAGATTTGCCCTCGCAATAGTACTAATGCCTTACAGCCTTAACAAAAATAGATTTTGGGAAAGTCTAAGGAATTACAGTCTTATATAGATTTCTTTCATTAGTTTACATGTCATACTATGACACATAAATTTGAGTTCATATAGGCTGTGATTTTTCCTTCAAAACTAAGTCTCTTTACAGGCTCTATTCAGTAAAATGTTAATGAAACTAATTCCAGTGGAGTTTTTGTCAAATGTTACTGCTATTGTTGATATCCTTGCCATTTATTTATCGTGCTACAATTGTTAGCCCATTCTGCTTTCTTGGGCATTTATGGTACTGATAAGTATTTCTATAACGTCAATTGATATAATGAAGATGCAACTTCTATTGAAAGTTACTCCTTCAATAGTTATTGCATCACTGTTGCAGCAATTACAATCACTACATTGAACGATGATTGAATGAAGTTTAACCGAACTCCATTTCACGAGGGACATTGATATTGTTTGCTAATGTTGATGGTCTTTTGTGACATTCTTCATCACACTTTTTCTGGTGCCCGTCTTAAGCCCAGTGCTGGGGAATTTTGTTTTTATGAGAATTTGTGGTTAAAATGCTGTGCCTTCATACTCATTACAAGCGTATTGTTCGTTTTTCCTAGCCCTCCTACTCTCATTCTGTTTGTAAATGTGCATATTTATCAGTTCTTTTCACCATTACCATACTTCCTCGTACCTTTGATGCTTAAATTAAGAGATGGTATCTCAGCTCATAATAGGGAAAAAGGTGCTTTTCTTGCCTATTCCCTGCTCAAATTAAATTACAATTGAGGTTGTGTGTGTAGCTACCCTTAGTTATCTCTTCCTGCTAGAGGTGTATTGTAGGCTAAGCAATTTACACCGATACACCGACGGCCAAACTCGCTCACGATGATGTAGCCTTCTTCTGATACAACGATTTCTATTACATATTTTCCTGAAGAAGCAATTCTTTCTTTCTTTCTGTTTGTTGTTGTACTGCTTGTACTGCAACATCCTTTCCGTGTCAGAAAATCAACGAATGATATATGGTGTATGATATAGGCTTACTTTCTTACTATAGAGCTATCGTTTCTACCAATTTTATCAGGCTTGACTCTTGTCTTTAACTATTTTTTCATCAGATTCAATTTATGCTACCAGATGGTATTATGACGGATACAGGAATTACAATGAAACTGGATTACAAAAGTTCATCATCACAGAACGTAAGGATGTTTTTCATTATTAACAGGCCCCTAAATTGAGATTAGCCCTCCCCCCACATCTTGAGTATAATTGGTCTTGATCGAGTGCCACCATCCCCGGGCTCCGACGGCTTAAAAACCCTTGTTTTTGGTACAGTCATACAAATGATAAGATCTTTGTGTTTTAAAATAGATAAGAAGTGGCCAATGGGATATGCACTCGGCCCCTTAAGTTGTCTCAGCACCCCAAGTCCATCTGCTTTTAAGCAAAAACTGTTACAGAGCTTTGTTCAAGGAAACCCTTATTTGTGTAGATAGAAGGAGTTCGTTTTCACGTTAGGACTCCTTTGGTTACATTTTCAACAGGCAAGCGGCACTAATTGGGCAACCACAACAGTCCTGTGCTCGTGTTTCTTATTGGCCTATTTCGATCCACAACTGGGTACATTTATTTCCTAGTGTAGAATTTTCGATCTATGTTCTGAAATTTTATACTCTGAAGAGTGTCAGACGGAGAGCTTTAGTAAAACCCATAATTGTATTTTACCAAATAATGCAATGCAAAGTATCTGTAAGCTACCAGGATTTGTCTCTTGTATTGTAGACACACGCTTTCTTTTTCATTTTTACAGACAAAGAACCACAACTGGCACGTGCATATAGAGCCAGTTGGAAGTGACTGGAAATCTGCCATCAATGAGCGATGCAAGAGTGTTGGGCCGCATTACAATCCATACAAAGTTAACGCCACTGTGAGTTCATTTCACTATAGCTCCCACTTTGATTTTTTCTTGTTCAAATTTACCATTTTTTGTGTAAATTGTGGAATAGAAAACAATAAGAATATCATAACTCAGATTTCACATTTTCACAGGAAAGACAGATAATAATCTTACACCTTTCCTTGGAGTTTCAGTAAAAATTTAGGCCTATGCACCCAGCCTCAAAAGTGACTCCATGATACCATTAAAATTCTTATTGTACATTTAACTGTTATCCTCTATTTTTGAAGGGTACATATTCAAAAGAATGTTCCCCAGATACCCTATTCCGGTGCGAATTGGGAGACCTGAGTGCAAAGCAAGCTAAGTACGACATTGGAGGTGGCAAGCAATACTACTTGGACGTAAACACGCCTTTGTTCAGCGCAACATCAGGTTAGTTTGTCACATTTGTTGCTAGCTCTCTTCGCTATGTTGCATGTAACACCATGTTTTATATACATAGAACCACTTCTCCATAGACTGATTCAAAAATTTGTTTTTTTGGTTTAAACGGATAGGCTAACCATCATATTTACAAAACCGAAGCAAGAAGTTAAATAATTCCTAACTAATTTGTTAGCTTCGACTTAGAAAACAGTCAGGATGTTATCTTTAATTTCAGTATTTTTCAAGAGCCTATCTAAATTGACTCAAGATGTAAAGTTTTTGGTTTTGCACAAAGTAGTGATATATTTTTGGTTTCCAATATTTGGCCTCCCGGTAATGAAAGTGCAACTAAGGGCATATTTACATCAGCATATTTTTAAATGAAAAGTTCAAAATTAACATGAGATGTCTTTTGAAAATGTATCCGTGTAGACCTGGTCTGAGACACTGGTAGGAATAGCTTGCCGCGAATATCGGTCTGGCTTTTGTAATTTTTTCTCGTAGATATTTTTAAGATCTTGTTTGCTTCTCCATTATTTGTTACTGGAGAGTATTATTCTACGAAGTTTTGATAGGCCAATAGTCTTATTTCAGCTGTAGATAATTCTGCCGGGAAGCCATTGCCTTCAGTGCCCATTCTGCTTAAACAGCCATTTTTGTTAAGCTACATTATTTTGACGAAAATAAAAAGAAAATAAAAACAGTCGATAGGTTGAATTCTCTTAGGGTGGTTTCACTTTGTAATCTCGTTTTTGGGGTTGTTGGTTTCTGTGTGTAGGTAAAACCATTTTTGATCTGCCTCTTTCAGTTATCGGACGTTCAATCACCGTGCATACTGAAAATGCTGGAGCCCCTCGCTTAGCCTGTGCTGACATCATCCCAGATTCAATTGCTGCAGTTGCTCAAATTGATCTGACATTCCCAGAAGACGTTCCTTTTAATAAGTAAGGCTGTCCGCACGGGAATGAAACTCAACAAAGCCGGTCACAATCGGCTCACACTCTCTGCTGCTCGCCAGAACCGCATGTAGAACCAAGATTAACCAAGCAAGCTTAAAAGCCATATGCCTAAAACTCGTATTTTTAGACGTTCAAGTATATATTAAACTAGACACTTAATGGGTACTGAAAGTTCACCTATGTTTTCTTGCTAGTCTCAAATTATAAAATAGATGACAACTAATTATTAAATAGCATAAAATATATATATCTAAAAATTTCCTTTGATTATCAAATAATGCAAGAGAACTGCAAATTAAAATGAAGGCATCTCAAGCAACGGTGCCTGCACTATTAAAAATACATTTTAAGCATTCAAAGTGAATTAATTTTTTGCTTCGATAATAACAGGTTCCCGATTAATTAAATAATCTTGATCACATTTTAGGTTTTGAGTATTTCTGCAAGTAAAGAACCTAAAAACTACTGAATAATCTTCAACTTCCAATCTTTTCTCCGTTGCTAAAGAACGCCCAATTGAAGCCATCCTGCAAATTAGACCTTTAGATCAAAACTCGTTAATTTAAAGTTGAAATTCAAACGCAAATTGTAAACCTTAATTAGAAAGCGTAATTTCCCTTTTAAAAAAATATAACACAATAACTTTACCATGCCTTTATAAAATTGTCTATTAAATTTTGCATCTTAACATTGTTGTCCTTAATCATTCTCTATAAACATCAGCTATTAAATAATTTCAAAATTCTTTCAAGTATATATTTTAAATGCTGATGAAGAGCCTCCATTTGTTGTAATTGGTTAAGCTTTTAGATAATTAAACCTAATATAAATACAGTTTTTAAAAATATACTGAAATGAACCTTTTGAAGCAGCAATATTTCTTATCGGTCATCTCTTTACCGTATTTAAAGAATAATATTTTATTAACAAGACCTTAAAAATCATTTTGGAGATAAGCTTGTTGCAACATAGTTAACGCGCACTTTATTTGTTCGGATATCTAAAATAGCCAAGGTCCTTTTGTATTGCGTAGACCCCGTCTACACGTAGAATTGACAAATGAAAACGTAATCGTTTTCCCAGGTTTTTCATCCTGGATGCATGCAAAAATGCAATTGTAACTGAAACTCCAAACATTTGAAAATGTCTTCCAGTGTAGAAAAATTTAAGGAGCATCGTTTCAACGAGACACAGAACTTTTGATTCGTTTTCATTTAGATAATTCGCAATATTTTGAAAGTTGTGCATACGTGATTTAAGATTCATATGGCTAGACAAACTTGCAAGTTAGTTTTTGTACAACGGCTTGTTATCTGCCATCAGTTTGCTAGCAGTAAACAGTTACTTTACCTGCATTGCATTGTTTTTCTATATTGTATCAAAGCATGTCAAAATACCTAGATGCTACAAGGTATAACACTGTTTGTATAATACTATACAACACTATTTTAAGTAACAATATTTTAAAATATTTATATTATAATTCAAAGCGCTATCTATGTTCAAATATATCCCATATTTTTCATTGCAATATATTACAATATCTACAGTACAAAATCTGAACATATGTATATTGCAAGGTGTTGGATTACATATATCTTATTATGTTGAAATATTTATTCTAGAACGGATATTCAGACCTTTATCGCAAATACCTTAAGAATCGCTTCCTGGCAAATTCGATACATAAAAGGCACCTTGTCTTCAAAAATCTGCAGATCTGTCTCCTTTTACGTCCTAGGTATGTACTATCAGCAATATGTTCTCAAAACTGAATATTCTTTTCTATGAGATGGATATTTTTTATCATTGTATTTGTTCAGCTTTCAATAATTTCCTATTTTACTGACCTACGGTATCTAATGTTGATTCCCTCTCTTTTATCAATCCAAGTAAGGCTTTCTTTCAGCTGAATCGCCTCATTTCTCTTATGCACTGTGTTCTCTTATGCACTGTGTTCTCTTTTGCATTGTGTTCATCGTATACGTTGCATATAATTTCATTTATCTTTTCCGTATTTTAGATAACCGTGGCTCTCCCAACGCAACATACTACAAGCATCAACTTCAACAACGTGCCAAAAACAAGCAGTTAGGGAAATACAATCCTTGTGAGTGATCCCATTGATTCAATGCTATCATGAATGCCCTTTATCTCGAACACCTTCTATCTCGAAAAAAAGATCTTTCTCGTCAGATGTAATGTTGTTTTATTATTGAACAAACTCTTTAATTTTAGTTGTGTTAGAAGTATTGATAAGTATATATATTTTCAACGGTGAAAATGGTAAATGATATTTGCTAAATCTGTCAAACTCAACTCGTCACATGACACGTCACATCAAAATGATTTTTCTCTTTTATTCTTCCTAACTTTCGAAATGACTTCTCTTTATTAGAAATGACTACCTGTCGAAAAATCTACTTATTTCTTAATGTCACCCATATAAATTATATGATGACGGTTTTATCCGTTTTGTATTAACGATGACGTCATTCGAATATCTTTTGTTGTATTTTCAGGTCTTCCAATAAGCGCAGGTATGGACGAATCTTTCAATTTGTTTGCTTATTGTTCTAAAATGTTTGTGTCTACTCGTCAGTTCAAGTTATACAGAAGATTTTATGATTGTATAAACATATTGAGTCTTTCGTATTGTTTGATATTTTGCTAGGATTTAATCTACCGTAACAACAGCCATTTGATAATAACGAATGGATTGACGAATAAGAATTATCTTTCTCTCTGTTGCCAATTTTATGCCAAATTATAACACTTCAACTTTTGATTTTTTATATATTTATATGAATTCGATTAAAGGTTACAATAGACTACACCTTTTAACTTTTGGTCTGTAGGAACCTTGTAATTAAGACCTGACCAATTCATCGCTGCTCTTTTTACATTGCTGATTTATTTTCTCTATCTTTTCAGGAATTCATCAAACTTTTGCTCCATCTACGTTGACAATTTGTATCGTCTCATTGTTACTCTTTTACTTCGTAAGACAATAAAATGTCCTAAATAATGAAATAAACCTTGTCACTCTCTCGTATGATTTAACCTTTTAATTTTTTGTAAGAAGACTGATTGAATTTAGGATGATATTTATGCCGCTGGGTTTTTTGCTTTTATAGGGAGTATTCATACTATTAAGGGCCATCGTATTTGTAATTTTATCCAGGGAAATTACTTTGCTGTCTGGTGAATGGTGCCAGCATTGGCCGAGTGTATTTTGATTATAAGCACAATTTGCAAGAAGAAATATGTGACGTGTGCCAGTAAACAAAGACAACGAGAAAATGACATCATCGTCTCTTGGTAAAACACTCCCCTTTTTAGAAAACCAGAGCCTCCACCTCTACAAAAATATTTACGGGGGTTTAAACCTTGAATGGCAAAGCCCCCTTTCAAAACATTTTAGCCTTGAACGAATCATAACAATTTCTATTGGCAGGACCGTATGTGTTACGATGGATGGGAGCTTGGTGTGGCCAAATTTGAGCTATATTTGCCTTGCATTAAAACATTATTTGTGGAATCTCGCCAAATCTCACCTTCTGTTATTTTGATTAAACATCTCCCTTTGTACTTGTGATCTTATTGAAATTTTCACTATCTAGATTGCATTTTTCTGACACATAAGCTTCTAGGATTGCTACCCTCTCCAGTCCCCCTTTGGGTATTGGACAGGCAAAAAATAGAGCGGTTTATAGTTTGGGGTCACTTAATTACAGATCCATCAGCAAATGTAAGTTCCATGGTATATAAATAACGTTTAGGACGATAATTTAGTTTACTAATAATTTCTATATTTAATTTATATCAACGAAGCAAGATACATAATATCAAGATGCATTGGAAGTATATGTCAATCGAAGTTGAAATATGACTCAAATCTGCTTTCTTTTTTATTCTCTTTCAAGAAACGGGACCAATTATTTGAAGCAAACATCTAGTTGCACTGATTTGTTTGTCCTTATCCGTAATTTCACAATGCAATTTCCTTTTATGCTTTCATAATTTCATAACATTTCTCTGCTTTCAGCCTGTGGTAGTAATTGTGAATGTAATTTAACAGTTGTTCAGCAATTTTAAGGACCAAAGTACATCATATAAGGTTTTGATATTAGGATGTATTTAGATAAAGTAATGCACCACAAAGTTTGCGAAAGGAATATTTCTAGAAGTCGTTTTGCTTTCCTGTTTGAAGAAATCGACTGACCTTGTGTTAAATTTCAGCTCAATTTTCAATATTGAAAACCACACGTGGATGTGGAGATATTTTTACGAATCATATCTATCTGTGTTGGCCAATTAAGCAACAAATATCTATGAAGAATTGACATACTTAAAGTTTGGCAACCCTACAACACAATATACAAATCCTAACACCAACTTTCAATTTTTTTCATCTACACACCCAATCCATATTTGTACAAGCATTTTGCTTTTAAGGCTATGATCCTGTTAAATATCTATGGAATGATTTCATTTAGGCATACCACTTGGAAAAAAGTCATTTACATTTTATACTTATGGCAGTTAAAATGTAGCTTTGAATATGGCCTTTGAACAATGTCTTTAGCCGTCCATGGGATGTAAATTTTGTTAACCCCCCTTGAAGCAGAGCAATAGGGCCCTTTGCCACAAATTATGCCAGCATATTCATGACAACCATAGAACAACATATCTTGAGCAATGCCCCGATCAGGCGTATTCTAATGTTTTGAAAAAGATTTATCAATAACACAGTTTTTATCTGGCAACATAAGCTTCAAAACCTACAGGAATTTACACAATACACTGTATATCATTCGCGAGTTTACTGTATCATTTCTGTTCTGACAAATGTAGCCTGTGTCCCAGACCCCTAACTGAAAGAAGATTGAAGCACAGGCTGAACAAATGCCGCTTTTATTTGGGTACACTCCTTTAACAGCAAACTGGATTCCAGATCTCTCCCGGCACAACGCTGTGTGGCAACGCCCGTTTTGGATTACACCATTCTTTCTTAGTTTTCTGGCAAGCGGTGCTTGTCTTTTCTGTATGGCTTTCTGTATAGAAAATCAGATTCTATTCAGAAATCTATTCCATCCAGCCTAAGCTAAACTCTCATTTCGTGTAACTGGTAGTCTGTATCTTCTTACTTTTGAAACAAACAAATTCCAAGCATAACCTTCTTTCTTATTACAGTTATAAGAAAAACAGCAAAGCAGTTCCATTGGTAGAAAACACTTGCCTTGTAATACAATTTTGCCTTGTGAGACAGTTTCAGCGACTTCTTTCTTGTTTTACCTTATGCAACATCAATGGCTAAATTTTCAAATCTGGAAAAAAAATTTCAAATTTGGTAATAGGCAAACAATTGGCACTGTCTCGGTCTTCAAAATCAAATAAAGATATGATTTATTACAAATTTGGCCCTTGAAGATTCGGATATTAACTGACGAAATCCGAGCAGCAAATCACTCTATGGCAGAAATCTGTACATCCTGGGAAATCGTTTTGTTTTTGTGGACATCTAGCACCTTTTTTATTTTCGATTGGCCACGGCCCCCCTGTTTGTCGAAAACAGACTACTTTAGCCTATTCAAGTGAAACACTCAGTCTCGTTTACAAGTTGAGGCGGACTAGACAAAGATGGCCACCAACGGCACTGCAAGTAGTAAAGAAAGCGCGTGCAATACATGTCTGCAGAGGTTGGCAATTTTACTTGTCTAGCTTGAGCGAAGGTGATTATCAAATTTAAGTTTTTTTAGAAAAAAGTTAAGAAGCGTTAGACAGAAAGTAGTGCCGTTTGGGGGTTGTTACGTTGTCGTAGGCAATCGGCAACAGCGTGACTCCTTTCATCATCAGCTGATAATATGAAACTTAAGCGAAGGAAACATTGTAATAAATATCTTTCCTTTTATCAAAACAAGTTTAAAATTCATCAGCCGTACCAGCTTGTTATTGACTTGACATTCTGTCAGGCTGCACTCCAAAACAGAGTTCAAATCAAAGAGCAGCTCAAGCAGTATTTGGATGGAGAGATAAATTTTTTTGTCACAAGCTGCACGTTGGCAGAAGGAAAGGAGCTTGGTACAATTGTTCATGGAGCAATGGTGGTTGCTGAAAACTTTGAGATAAGGAAGTGTAACCATGAAAAGCCAGTCACAGCAGTGCAATGCATAAGCAGTCTTGTGAAGAAAGGAAATAAACATGGACTTTTCATTGCAACTCAAGATCCTGAATTACGAGATGAACTTAGAAAAATTCCAGGAGTTCCTCTATTGCATGTAAATCATAATGTCATTGTATTAGAGAAGCCATCTGCCGCATCAGTATCAGCATCTGAGTGTGAGGAAAGCAAAAGACTTATTTCGAAACATGAACAAGAAGTCCTCAAGCAATTGAAGAAAACTGAAGAACCTGTTAGAGTCAAGAGAAAACGAAAAGGGCCTAAAGAACCTAATCCACTATCTGTAAAGAAAAAGAAAAAGATTGATGTAAGTACAGTGAAGGCTGGTGATGATGTCACCAAGAAGAAAAGGAAAAGACGAAGAAAAAGAAATGCCAATGGAGGAGAGGCCTAAGACATTGTACTAAAAACAATATATGATATGTTTTTGGAATATTTTTAGACCTGTTATGTTTTTAGACCTGTCATGTAGATAGCTAGCTGCTCATTTATTCAATAGACATGTGATTGTCTTGGCTGAATTGAAAGTTTAGTCATAGAAATAAGTCTTGAAAGTGACAGAAAGCTATGAATTGCAATTAAATCAAGAAATTGCAATTACTGACATGCAACTTTCTTTTCAAACAGATGTACTAAAGTCTTTTGAAATATTTATCCTAAGATTTGCAATACTAAATAAACAAAAAAAAATATGCCAGATAGAAATGAATGAATGCTACTTTCGATGAGTCTCAAGACAGTGTACATAGTACAGGGTGGTACTAAGTTGCATCACCCAGTTTCAGGCTTTGTGAGATCATCAAACAGCTGAAAAAATACTCACTCTGTGGGTATTGTTATACTAAATTTATTTGTCCTAAGAGATGTTCTAAGTTCCAGTTGCATATAGGTTTTTTAAGGGGTTAAAGTGTGTTAAATTCCTGACAGCTAAGTGATCGATATTTTATTATGCATTTAGAAATAAATTTGGATATTTTTAAAGATCCTGATCTTAATGCAAGAATTCATTATGTTGTTCCTCCTGTTTTTTCTATAGTTGCCCAACAAATTGCTCTGTCATGTTTTACCTAGTGTAAGATCAAAGAAAAATTATGCAAGAAATTAAAAACAAGGCATAACATTTACATTCTTCCTTATAAGAACAATTTTATAAGAACGCAAGCCTCAGAATTGGTCTTAAGCTAAGAACAAAGCAAGATCAAGCTGAGGCTGGGGTACTGTAATATTCTATCTCTATTACATCTTTAAAAATATCAACTCAAAAACAAGGAGTTTTCTGCCATCTAGAGGTGTTTTGTTTGTGAATTTTCAAACTTTTCGGCAAATTAAAGATGGCCTACTAATTTTGTTGGCAAGTGGTGCCTGAACACTCCCCTTGAGCATAATAGCTAGTGAATTTGCTGTTTACATGCTTATTGTTAATTTAGAACATTTTTGGAAAAATTTAGAACAGTCAGCCTGAATTCAAATTACCTGGTTCCACATCAAAGGCTCCTTACTATGGTAAGGTAATAGAAATTTTGATTATCCTGGTACAAATGTCTAATTGTCAAGAAACATGGAGGATACTGGTGTCTTAAGGTTACAAAAGTGGGTTCATTGATAATGCACCTTATATTGTCTTACACAATGATCAAGAAATTTCTACCAACGACTTCTGCTCAGCACTACTTCTGAAAAATCAAAAAGCATCTCATCTTGGGTTCCTTACTAAGTGCACTATTATTCAGTTCCAAGTATAAAGAAGTTGCCAGCTCCCCCATACTGTGCTACAATGTCCAGCATTTGAGGGTGAAAAAAATAGAAGATAAAAATTTTAAAAAAATTGATGCATGCAACTAGAACAAAAGATCTCCAGCATTCGAGATATAAAGTAACTATAAAATAGAGCAAAGCAGCTTCTTCAAAGAGAGTTAGCTTAAAAAAGGATCAACTAGAAAAACATTTCTAGGCAGGGAATCATAGTCAACCATAGTTAATCATAGTTAATCACAGTCAATCATAGTCAATCATAGTTAATCATAGTTAATCATAATTAATCATTACCCTGTGTCATTTGTCATAAAATTCTTGAGTGATAAAATTTAAAGAAACTTCTAGGCTACATTTTTTTGTACCTGGAAAATAAGTAACTTGTCTTGAGCCTGATGGTTCACTTGGGCTTTTCATTGCTTGAGTAACTTTCTTTTCTTATCTGGCAGAAAAACTCTTATTTTTATCTAAGAAATATGAACAATCCTGTTTTTATATTGACTGTAAGATGTCTCAACACATTATCTAAATACTTATTTTTATAGATGACAATGCTGCCAATTGCATGTTGGAAATGCTCTTTTATCACTAGAAGTAAAATGCAGCAGCAACTTATGTCACAATTTGTCTGGAGGAGACTGAAACCAAATTTCATGTTTCTTTTGCTGAGGACCAAAGTGGGCAGTGCTACTTCTGATGAAAATTTAACTGAATGGATGGAAGATAACTATGGAAAGGTCATTGTTGCTATTTTTGTTCTTCTAGAGTGCAATTTGAATTACATTGGGTCTCAAATCTTTGAATTAGGAGAAACGTAGTTTATTTATTTTACTTCCTAGGATTATGGCCTGTTCTTACACTAGTTTGCGTATTTTTAACAAAGAAACAAAACAAATTCTACAAGAAATTTCCTAAGAAAACTCTCACATGGTCCTCACAACCAACTTCAAAAGTCTTCCAAAATGGTTTCTAAGGTGAAGCACAAATAGGACCCCAAATGCCGAAAAAATTGGCGAGCTTGAAATTAAAAAATCCTTATGCAATAATGCCTACATAAATTTGCAGCAGCAGTAAGAAATTTGGGTATGTTTTGTTTCTTATAAATATAGATCTGGAGATAGGGGCCTGTGGTTGATTGAAAATTTCTCAAATATGCCCTATATTGAGTTTTTAAGTTATCTTCTAAAAGGATAATATATTGTAAAACACTATTAAAGTTATTCAAGAATTCAGCGCATGAGGAGGAAATATTCTGAAGAAATGAATCTATTAGAATGTTGGGAACCTATTGTATGTATCTAAGTTCATTTTAAAGATTGTCCTTGTAGTAATGTTACTTTGAATTTTAGGATGTTGAGGGGCGATTTATTGATTGGATGTATCTGAAAGTCAAGGCTGGTGATGGAGGTGGTGGGGCTGCACATTTAAAAAGAGGAAGGTATTTTGACTTTTTTAAAAATCTGTTTACACAATTCTCCTTCTTTAGGTAACGTATCTAGTCTTGAAGTGACCAGTCAGAAGTGGGCACAATATTAAAAAACGACCCTTAGACACACTTTTTTGAAAGTACAACATTCATGCAAAAAGTAAGAAGAAGAGTCAACATTCTGTAGCCTATTATAGCCAGAATATTCCGATTATATTTATAATTTGATTACAAATCAGGCACGTATGCACAAGGTTTAAGTGGGGGGGGGGGGCAAAAATTGACGACAAGAGATACTAGTTACACCAAAGACGTAATTTCGAAAACAATGGGCGCTCAACTCCTGGAGCTTAGGGGGTCTGTGGCGGTAAAAGCTCCTGAGCATGGTGACACTATTTCGATCCATTTTATTACTAAAATCTTCTTCAAATCTCTTGGTTTTCGAGGGCAATCTGCCTTATGTGCCCAAGTAAACATATAATGGGTGGCATCAGCTGGAAACGTGTGGGATGGACAGGACATTAGGGGGCTTGTCAACAAATTTCTTAGGTATCACTCCCTCTTAAGCATATATTTTTCAAAAATTTTCAAAAAGCAGTGTGAAAACAGCTTTTTCGCCTTCGGCTTTGTCAGGTTCTTTAGTCAAGACATGTTCTTTATGAGCTTAGTAGCGGAAGTTTTCAGCAACTAGCACTTTCAGTTTATCTACGATACTATACACTGTTCGCCAAATCACATCTTATGCTGATATGAAAAAGACTTTTATGTCTTTTATAATACAGTGAAAATCAAAGATAATCATTAATTATCAGGTGCAAAGTCTCTCTTTCCCTTTCACAATAGATAAGCAAGCAATCAATCAATCACTTCAGTCAGTCGATCTCAATCCATCAAACAAACAAGCAAACAAACAAACGAACGAACGAACAAACGAACGAACGAACGAACGAACGAACGAACGAACGAACGAACGAACGAACGAACGCACGAACGAACGAACGAACGAACGAACGAACGCACGCACGAACGCACGAACGAACGAACGAACGAACGAACGCACGAACGAACGAACGAACGAACGGACGGACGAACGAACAGAAAATTTTATGGACATGTCCACCCCAGTCCACCATCTGGCCCTGCACCTTACCTCCACTTCTAATTTTAAGGTTAAAGATTTATTTTGTTAGGTTATTGTTTACATTTTAAGCGTAAAAGTGAAACGTTTTCCAATGTCTTTGTGGTCCTAATTTTCTTTCGAGGCTGTATTGTCCCGATTTAACAGTAGGAGGGAGGAGTTTGCCAAAGTAGCTTTTTTCTACTTCATGCTATTGATTTCTCAGAATTTCTTATGGGGGCCCCATATTCTTTATACCACTGCAGCCCTTATAGAAGGTAGTTGTATATCTTCTATGTCATTGAGTTCCGTTTATTTTCCAGTCAAAAGGCACTTTTCAAGCACCCAAGCCCTCCCGTTTCTCTACTTCTATGGACCTGTCTGCCAGGCCATACTAATGACAAACTCTGAAGTGCAAGCTTGTAACAAGTTTTTATTTAACTTGAAAAGTTCATTTTAGGCGATTGCTTGGCCCTGATGGAGGCGATGGTGGAAGAGGTGGTGACATTAGTGTTATGGCTGACAACTCGCAAAAAAGTCTTACCGGGATAAAGAGGCACTATAAAGCAGAAAATGGTGGCAAAGGAGGGAGCAATTTTTCCAGAGGAAGAAATGGTAAAGGCATCACTATCAAGGTCAGTATAGATTTTGTCAACGCTTACATGTAATGCGTCACTGGCTTTTCAAGCCAAAGGCCTGGGCTTTAGCATTACTTGAAGAAATTGTTTAAGCCAAAGGTCTGGGCTTTAGCGTAACTTGAAGGAATTGTTTGAGCCAAAGGTCGGGGTTTTAGCATTAATTGAAGGAATTGTTTGAGCCAACGGTCGGGGTTTTAGCATTACTTGAATAAATATTTTGAGCCAAAGGCTAGGCTTTAGCATCACTTGAAGGAATTATTTGAGCCAAAGGTCTGGGTTTTAGCATTACTTGAAGGAATTGTTTAAGCCAAAGGTCTGGGCTTTAGCGTAACTTGAAGGAATTGTTTGAGCCAAAGGTCGGGGTTTTAGCATTAATTGAAGGAATTGTTTGAGCCAACGGTCGGGGTTTTAGCATTACTTGAATAAATATTTTGAGCCAAAGGCTAGGCTTTAGCATCACTTGAAGGAATTATTTGAGCCAAAGGTCTGGGTTTTAGCATTACTTGAAGGAATTGTTTAAGCCAAAGGTCTGGGCTTTAGCGTAACTTGAAGGAATTGTTTGAGCCAAAGGTCGGGGTTTTAGCATTAATTGAAGGAATTGTTTGAGCCAACGGTCGGGGTTTTAGCATTACTTGAATAAATATTTTGAGCCAAAGGCTAGGCTTTAGCATCACTTGAAGGAATTATTTGAGCCAAAGGTCTGGGTTTTAGCATTACTTGAAGGAATGGTTTGAGCCAAAGGTCTGGGTTTTACCATTGTCGATAATCTAATCCAAGGTTATGATTTTCAAGGCATGATAAAAGTAAAAAACTTTCAAACGTTTGCTTAGTAAATTTTGTTGACCTGTCATCTACATATCTCAGTTTCCATTGATTTAAAATTGCCATTGTTATTGAGTGTATTATTAGTTTTCTTGCTTCTACTGTGTAGTTATAGAAATGTATTTGTATGACATAACTTATCAGAAGTTCAATTTTGTTTCCTTAACCTGGTACGTAACTTTGGGCCATAACGACAATTTATTATTTACTGTACTCCATTATAGTGTTCCATCCATGCTATATAGACAATGCGGTACCTGTTTGATGTGTAGAACAGAACGGTTTCATGTTGTACCTATTGCCAGAGGATAGCATTAAACATGAGGTCCAATTTTGCAATCTAATGCTTCTGATAAAGTTCACTAAAGTTTTCATTCTTTCTTTGGCAAAAAATACAAAACTCTCAAAATCTACCCTAGAAAGACAATCAATCAAAGGCTTGGTCTTGCTGGGGCAAAGTCATGGCTGGGGTAACTCAAGTTCGATTTTTATCACTGATCATCCTTACAGTCAGCTTTGTGTCCGCCACTTTTATGTCCTTGGTTTAATGACCTTGACATATTTTTAATATGAACGTAAAAGAAAATTTTATGAAAAAATTTCAGGTTCCAGTTGGTACGGTGGTGAAATGTGATGACAGGAAAGAGATATTAGCAGACCTCGCAAGTCATGGCAATACTTTTGTTGTGGCAACTGGCGGCATCGGTGGCTATGGTAACGCAAATTTTAAGTCATCAACCGATCAGTCGCCGATGGAAGCAACAGCTGGAGTTCCAGGAGAAGAAGCGACAATAGAATTAGAGATGAAGTCTATTGCTGATGTTGGATTGGTAAGTATAAGTACAATGGTTTTAGTTTTGTTGTTGCTGTTGTTGTTGTTCATCAATGTAATCACAGTAACTCCGTCTGGTATGCCGTTTGCCTTCGCCACATACTATCTCTCGATTCTACTCTTCTATTCTCTTCTTAACCGTTTCTCCTTCTATTCTTTTTTACCTGATTAAGAGTTATGCTCGAAACGTCGTACTAAATATCAATTTCTTTTAGAAAGTCGTTATATTTCTGTATCAAATTTTGTTCATTTTCGACGCACAACACGCACAACTACATTGATCACAAATGGAGATATTGCATTAGGGCTTACCGTGGCAAAATTGTCAATTTTCGGACACTTTTAGACTGGTCATGGTCAGGATTTTTTATAAGCATCATGAAATAACTCAATTCTGATAATTCTGCAAAATTTCACTAGTGAAGAAAACTTATAACTGGCATAAAATTTATTTTTGATCATGGGGTCTAGAGGAATCTTTAGTGTGTTTTTACATGCTTAACCTCAGCCCCGGGTTTAAGGTCGTAACTATATTATTTTCCAGCAGATAGACAATGTTAACAAAAACTGCATTTAAACTAGTTGAGAACTGAATTACAATGTATTGATGTCCTTCATGGTACAATGTGAGTTCATATTTAGTCCCTAAATAATTTGAAGATAGCACCGAAAAGCGGAACTTAGCCTAAAAGTCTGATTGGTCAAAATAAGAAACCAATCAAATGATCCCTTCTTCCACTTGTTTTACCTTCCGTCTTATTCTTCGGTATAAACTTTCTTCTTACCTTCGGACATTACTCTGAAGAGGAGAGACAGACGAAAATTACATAAGATCAGTATGCTTCAGCTTTTCTGTTGTATTTTCAAATTTTGCACTACAGAATGCTTCTTGGAAATAGGTTTTTATTTCCGTTAATTTTCAATGATATTTTAATTTCCTTTTAGGTAGGTTTCCCAAATGCTGGTAAATCCACTTTGCTGCGTGCTCTTTCAAGAGCAAAGCCGGCGGTAGCCTCTTACCCGTTCACAACATTGAAGCCGAAAATTGGCATCATTGGATATAAAGACATGTTGCAAATAGCAGGTATGGCTGATCTTTATTCTTTTAAAATTATCTTCACTTTTTTGCGATTACTTTTTAAAGACGTGTTCTGCAGTTTTCTTATGCGCTCCTAGCCTTGGCTGCAATTCTGTGTCTAGCGCAAGTTAATACGTTCTATTCGCAGTGTTGAAATGGCCTAAGAACGTATGCAAAATTATTCACATAGCAAACTCGATTTCAAGTAACCACATGTTTAGTTTTAACTCAGCACATGTTCGATTCCAAGTAATCACATGTTCCATTTCAAGTAATCACATGTTCCGTTTCAAGTAACCACGTGTTCGATTCAAAGTTACTTGAGTGACGATCTTACCAATATTCGTGCTAGCTAACTTCCATTCCATTTCTTGAAATATTTTGTCGTATTTAAATGTTGGTATGATTTTAGAAAAGGAGCTTCTGAGTTATATTTTTATTTGCAGTTGCAGATATTCCAGGCCTGGTGAAAGGTGCACACGCTAATAAAGGACTTGGGCATTCATTCCTCCGCCATATCGAAAGATGCTCTACTCTGTTATATGTTATAGACATAAATGACGACAACTTCATTGAAAATTACGAAATTTTAAGAGAAGAAGTAAGTCTTTATAACAAAGAACTCCTGACACTCCCAACAGCGATTGTTGCAAATAAAATAGACACATTGGAGAGAGATTGTGAATCGATAGAAAGGATAGCGAAATCTGTGGATGTGCCTGTCATTGGTATCTCAGGGAAGCTTTCTCTCAATATAGATTCACTGAAAGAACTAATACGAAGAATGGTTGGAAGCGTAAAGACTTTATAATTGTAGAGTAGGGTTTTGGATTTTGGTTATGGCAGAGTTACGTAATAGGGTACATTGTCCTCACAACAGATTGCCCAAAATGAAAGCCTCATAATTAATGCTAATTTTTTCTAAAGTCTTCTTCATACTGATATGTATCTTAGAAGAAGCAAATTTAATACGCAATTGGAGTACACCATTTGCAAAATGAATGAAAGGAGCTGACCCGTTTTTAAAGGAGACACTTTTTGAAAACTTCGGTTGATATAAATGGAGCGCTTACCCGAGGATTAACATCAGCTTTATTTTCTTGCATCAACATTAATGAAGTTGCTAAAAATGTATTAAATTTCAATAAAAAAGTCCTTCAATTCGATATTTAGCTCTTTCAAACTATGCCCAGGCTCGGCTTTGGTTAGTGTGAAAACCTTGACTCGACCTTTTGGCACGGGTTCTGATGTTGGCCAGGCCCAAAAAGGCAGAAACTAATCCAGGCTCTGATTTCACTCGATAGAGCGCATGCTTAAAACAGTGAAATTTTTTGTCTGGTCTTGTTTTTTTCGAAAGACATCGGCGAGTTGTCAACATTTGAGTTAAACTTCTAATTGTCCTCCGTTTAGAAAACTGAATTTCAAATTTCAAACTAACAAAAATCTTTGAAATCAATTTTTGTTAATTTCTTTCGACGGTGGATGTTTGAGCCAGTCATGTTGTGACAGTGTTACAGTTTACATCATTACTGCAAATTTTTAGTAGAAATTAGATTGTATCACTGCCTGAGTGAGGTAAACATGTGAGCCGTACGGGAAACATTAGGACCAAGGGCTGCCCCTTTTAGAAGTGAATTATGGACACCAGAAATACCAATATTCTTTGCTCACGGATAACATTGGGCCTTTGCTAGCGTAGCGACGATCCGAATAATGGCAGTAAACTTCTATGGATTTACCAAATTGATTTCAGACTGTCTAAAATGCATTATGGGATGCTTGCGTAGCGCAATTGCTCATTGTTAGCAATGAGTAGAATTTTGAAAAGTCTAATCTTTTTTCAAAATTATGATTTTACCACAACAACCAGATCCCATTGCAGATCCGATAACGGTGAAGGAGTTCTGTGATGATATCCACCAAATATATCGAGCATTTTGTTGTTTAGAAGCAAGTTGCTTTGAATGCACCAAACAGTTTCTCATCGTACACACTTTTGTATAGAGCCCCCCCCCCCCCCCCCCCCACCCACTTTTTTCCCAAGTGTTTTTAAGAAAATAGAATAAATAAACGGAAAGAAAAAGAAAAAAGTTTGAGAAATCCTTTTATTGCTTTATTTCCAAGGAATAAGCCGAGGTCCATTATCATATGAGGCCTCCTAAAGTAGTGAATTGCAAGAAAATAACTGCAAGGATAATATTCTGAAATGTATTTTAAGCTAATCTTAAGGACGTGGTTGCAAAATTTTCTGCTCGCTTCGCTCGCAAAGAAGCTTCTTTATTTAGGTGTACCAAGATTTCTTTCATTTAATCTTGGATATACTGTACCTAGGTCCTCTGACTGACAACTTCTCGCCCAAACCCCCCCCTCCCCACCCTATTTCAATGTACCGCTAGCAAATCGAGTGCCCCATAAAATCATAGCCGCAAATTATCGTGAAGCATTTTAGTACGTTTTTCAAAAGTTGGTTCTTAGTCTAATGATAATATCAGCTCGAGCCCCCCCCCCCACACGCCAATGTCAATTTGGTAAAAATTGGGAAAAAGAGTTCAAATTTTTACTATTGTCTTTGTTCACCTATGAAACAATTTAAGAATTGAATCATGCTAGCACAATGCAGATTTGATGAATGTACTTCAAACTTTTTTGCTCAATAACTCACATAGAAAAAACTCAATAGAAAAAGCTCAGATAGAAGTAGTCCAAACTGGTGATAAAAAAATGGGCCTCGATATTATTCTTAATTAATATTCTCATTATTCTTATACATTCAGCCTTAATACTCTAACAAGATTCTTTCTAATAAGTCTTTTTTCTAGATCATCTGTGTACCTCGTTGTGAAGAAGAGGCTTTGGCCTGTTCAAATTGCCATTTTATTTTGTTCCTGGACATTTGTTGCAAACATGACCCAAGAGATTGAAAATGAATTTATTGCTGGAGTTGTGGAAGGTGATTGATGTTTTCTTTTCTTAATTTTTGACATTTATACGTATGCGCTCTTTTTTCTTCCGATCCGATTTCCTAGCAACTCGATTTGTGGCCCGCGCTCTTTTCAATTTTCATTACATTTATAAATGAATTTAGCTAAATGAAATAAAGCTTTATTTCGATATATAAAAGTAGTTAGACGCACAAGATTGCATAGGTTTTTGTATATTTTAGGGTTTTATGGACGACCTTGGACAAAGGAACAGAGATTTGACCTTTTTAAAAGGTAAGCTTTATCTAATATTTCTAAAAACTGTATTTAAATTAATTTTATGCTTTAAGACCGTGCTTGAGTTTGATTTTTTGATACCATAAAATGCTGAAAATAATTTAGTTTGAACTGATGTAATAATTTTGATTTTTTCCAGGCTAAAGGAGTATGGATTAAATACTTACATGTATGCACCCAAAGATGATGCTAAACACAGAAAATGCTGGAGAGAGCTTTACTTAGAACAAGAGCAGGGTATGTTTTGATACATTTATAGTAATCGTCTTTTTTGTTGCTATTTATGTGAATTGATGTATGTACAATAATTTTTGAGTCAGCCAATCTTCCTTTTGGAAAAGTTTGCCATTATGAAGACCTAAATATATCCTGTAAAGTATTCAAGAAAGCTGTTTTGCTCAAGGGGGTTTGTAAGTCCCATTTGCAGATAAATTTGGAAATTTGCTGATGAAGCACCCCTAAATGACACGAAACTCATCATTTTTTTGCCATGGAACTTTTTTTCAAGGGGGGTGTCACACCCCACATGCCTCCTATTGTAAAAGGTCTGCAACTGTAAATTTTCTGGACTATTGCTCTGTTGTTTTTTTAAAAAAAATCATAGAATCGTAGGGATGTTTCATTGAAAATCACATTCTAGTTATTTCTAGTGACCCAAACAGTTGACATAAATGGCCAAAACTGTTTCATCAAAATGTTTATATGTAATATAATTGATATGTAGTATTTAACATCCAGTTAACACAAATACATGTATGATGATTCCACTAAGCATAAAACAAAAATTTGCAACTGAGAGTTTTTGCTTCACGCCAATGTGTAGATTTGCTGTTGTTTAAATTTATAAAACTATTTTTCTCAGAGATGTTGTTTCAATTGCTTTCAAACAGAGAACTTGAAAAGTCTTATCATTGAAGCTGCAAATAAAGGCATCACATTTGTATATGCTTTGTCACCTGGATTGGATATGATATTTTCTTGTCCAAAAGATGTAGAATCTCTGAAGAAAAAATTAAAACAGGTACTCCATAGATAATTTGTCCATAGCAATCAGATTTCCTTGTTGTCATCCAAAAATTAAGACCAACATGGAAAAATTAGAAAAATATGAATAAGGTTGGAAAAGTTGGACTAACAGTGATTCTGTTACAATGTAATTAAGTATGTCAAATTGTAATTAGAATTAGATCATGATCTGTATCATATAGAAGTATTTTTTTCTGCTTTCAACAAGTCTCTTATTGATCTTAACTTCTTTAGGAGTGTTTTTCTTTTGAAAGACTCTTATTTTATCAACATGAATTATTATGTTGGAAACCATATATATTTTAGGTATCTGATCTTGGTTGCAAGGCCTTTGCATTGCTGTTTGATGACATAGAGCCAGAACTCAGTCTTCCAGACAGGCAAGACTTTGACACATTTGCAGATGCCCAGGTGGCAATAGCAAACCAGATTTATGACCACCTTGGAACCCCAAATACATTCCTGTTCTGTCCAACAGGTTGGTTGTCATAAAAACTTAGGAGTATATACTTTACAAAGTTTGCTGTGTCTATAATCTGTAGAAAATAGAAGTTTGAGAAAATTGGAAGTTGGAATCAGATTCTCAGATAAAATAGCACATATTATTTGAGGAGCATTGTTGGTTTAATGACTTCACATGATATTGTATACCTAGTTTATTTATTGTGGTTGTATCTTATTTTCCTAATTTTGTTATTGTTCTGCATTTAGTTTTCTGAGCGCAGGTGATCACAATGGTTTATGTTGCAAATTTTGTATCACTTTTTCAAATTCCATGTTCTTCCCAATATGGTATCAGAAGTATGAATGAGTATAAAAGTCAGTGAGTGTACTCAACTTTTTCAAACTTCCACTAAATTTTCTCAAGTAGTGTGTAGTTTATCTCAATTATCAGGACATAGTCTATGTGCCATCTTTAATACTTCTTGTTGGTAACCCCTTCAACTTTCAAAATATAAAGGTATGGTGCAAGTCCAGATTATGTACTAATATTTGAAGAGGATGATTGCTATAAAAATGATTTTTATTTACCTGGCAGAATATTGTTGTACAAGAGCAAAACCTTCTGTTAAAAAGTCAGAGTATCTGAAGATCCTTGGAAAAAAGCTGAACAAAAATATTGACATCCTTTGGACAGGTATTGCTTATCTTTCAATAGAAATTTGGATTCAATTATATTTTGTTTTAAAAGTAATAGTTGCTGAAGGGAAACTTATTAGGGTTATGAATGATAGAAATGACAAGGTGATGTGTAAATGAAAGTAGACTTACTGCTCTGATTTTTACTAACTATAGATTCGAGAGCAGCAAGTTAAGCTGAAATTGAATAAAGTCTCCCAGTTTGGTTATTACATTGTCAATGCCTTTATTGTTATACAGTCTTTTTTAAAGGAACTTGTGATGTTTAGAAAGTAAGGCTCTTATTAATAAACTCAGGGATTAAATTTATTTAAAAGTAGCACAATCTCTGCACAAACTTTTGGAACACCAACGTTTGGTTTTCAAGAGCCAATTCAGCCTGCTCTGCCACTGGGAACAATGTTGATTTTCTATAAAACGAAGCAGAAATTAGGAAGTACAGGCCTTTTCTTAAGAAATAGCCCATTCGAGTGGCCCATTGCTCGCTAGTGATCGCTCACGTCAAAAAAAGGCCTGGAAGTACGTTTTTTGTGTGAGTTTTACGATAAATAGATAAACTTTCTTCTGGAAAGGGGGGTGGGCGGAAGTGGTAATATTTGTTTCGAATCTTTTGATTTGGTTTATTCCGGCACCAAGAAATGCTGAGGAAAGAAATGAAAAGTATAGAAGTACAAAACCAATTATTCAGTCTTTCAACTAACTTTGAATGGCATTTTGGCAAAAAATGTTTCTAATTCATTGATGAAAGTGGATATATTTGCAATTTTAGGGCCAAAGGTTGTGTCTCATGTGATCTCAGTGTCTTCAATTGAGGAAGTAGCTGGGGTTCTGAAAAGGAAGCCTGTTATCTGGGACAACAGCCATTCAAATGATTATGACCAGAGGAGGTTATTCTTAGGCCCTTATGATGGAAGAGCAAAAGAACTTTACCAGCACGTGAATGGCATACTAAGTAACCCTAACTGCGAATATGAATGTAATTTTATTGCATTTCATACTATTAAAACCTGGGTCAGTTGTTGTAAGGCTTTTACTCTGGCTGGGAAGGATAATTCAAACAGCTCCGAAGAAGGAAATGAAAACCTTTATGAACAAGAAAGAAACGAAGAAATTATGAAAACAGGTGATCAGGCGACGGCAAAGACTGGTGAAGAAGTGGAGGATATGGATTGTACAAGTATCACGAAGCATGAAAGCGATTCACTAAAAGAGGTTGGTTATGATAATTCAGATGACACGGTGGAGGCATCAGAATCTGTAAATCAGTTGCTGGGTTATAATGTGAAAGATGCACTATCTAGGGCAGTGGCTGACTGGGTTCAGGAATTTAAAAAGGCAAAAGAGCTAAAAAGTAAAAACATGGTCTTATCTACGTCTCCATCAAAACTAGCAGTCACTGGTGACGTAAATTCTTTATCAGATTCGGCTGAGAAGGAAAAAGAGCAAGACGCTGGACTAGGCCACCAAGCAACTGCCGTTTTTAGCAGACAAGAGGACGAGCTTTGTGACGTGGAGGAAGAATGCTGTCCCCATCACGTTTCAGGTGCTTATTCTATCATATAAAATTTTCTTGTGTGTCAAAATAAAATTGAAGCAAATTAACATTAGAATGTATTATATATTATTCGCTTATTATAGAAATTACCTTTCAAATTGATTTTGGTTCCTATGCTTCAAGAAAAATGAGAATCATTTGTTTTTTATGTAAACTATTTATGCAGTTGAATACGGGAGGTAAGGCAGGGGGTCAGGCGGGAGGTAAAGCGGGATGTAAGGCGGGAGGTAAGGCGGGAGGTAAGGCAGGGGGTAAGGCAGGGGGTAAGGCGGGAGGTAAGGCGGGAGGTAAGGCAGGAGGTAAGGCAGGAGGTAAGGCGGGAGGTAAGGCAGGAGGTAAGGCGGGAGGTAAAGCGGGATGTAAGGCAAGAGATGAGGCGGGAGGTAAGGCAGGAGGTAAGGCAGGAGGTAAGGCAGGAGGTAAGGCGGGAGGTAATGCTTTTAAAGCTTTTTTTGGGGGAGGGGGACTAGCTAAATGCTATAAATTTTCCTAGTGGCTTGCTTGAGCTCTTCTGCCGTATTTCATCAAGCAGGTACAAATACTCAATTTTTTGTTCAATTTTGATCATGTTTGATTGGCCTTTTCGTGCCACTGTTGAGAAACATTGATTAAGTGGTTCATTTAATGAAAATTTAATTGATTATTGCAGGGAAGCGAATTAAACTTAATGTAAAAGAGGAGAAGAAGTCAGATGTAACAAAACATGACTTAGAGCTGTTGATTGATTTATTCTTTCTGCCATATGAACATGGTAAACAAGCAAAACATCTTATTGCTGAGTTTAAATGGCTTCAAGCAAACGCACTTCCAATCGATACTTTGGACAAGAAGTCGAAGCTGGTAAGCTTATTCAAATGGTTTTTGAAAGACCAGGGACATAGGTTTAGGGCATCATTGGGGGGGGGGGGGGGGGAAAAGAAAGCCTTTTCGACTTAATTTGGTAGATTGCGTCAAACTTCAAGAAATTTTGAAGAAATTTGTCGCCATGAAGAGGCGTAAGACTTGATAGCTTCAATTTGTTTGTTCCTTGCTGCCTCAAGACCTTCATAAAAAGAGAGCCCTTGGTTCCCTCTGTGGTGGATTCCATCCCCCCCCCTTCGAAATCAATTGGATGGCAATAATTGCATTGAGGGCTGTAATTTAGCAAAATGCCAAATTTCATAGCTGCTCCAACATTGTAACTTATTTCACAAAACTCTGCTTTACAGGTTGAAGATTGGGAGACGCGAGCTGCCAGTTACCACAAGCATTGCCAAGCAGTGTCAGACATGTTTTCACGCATTTTGAATGCACCTAATAAGCTTCTTGTGCAAGAGCTCTATCCTTACATCTGGGACGTTAAAGAGGTTGCCATGCTGTTGAGTGCTTTTATAAAATGGCTAGGTATGTCAGTTAGCTCAAAAAAGGTTTGCCAGTGTCTATGGGAATGGCAGTTGCGCAGTTCCTTGAAATGTTTTTAGTGGAAACAACTCTTTGGCAGTAAAGAGAGCAATGGTCGAAAATTTCTTAGCTAGAAAATATATATAAACCCAGGTCGTGAATTGAGATAGGCCAGTCAAAAGCGTGAGCACAGTGTACAACTGGGTGTACAAGCTCAGAATATTTCGATTGGCTGTTAGGATCTCTCGAAGAGACTAAATACTTTTAAAAACGTTTGCTTTTTTCAAAGCCATTGTTTTGTAATGTTTGTTGACATAAACGGAGATCCCCAATCGTCCCCTAATACTCCAGTCTTCTTGTAGGATCAAAAACTCGCAAATGCAAATCCGGATCAAACTTAATACCTGAAGACCCCGAACCCTGGATGTTTAGAGGCGGCATTGCGGAGGAGCTAGAAGTAGAGTTCGGCGTTGATATAAATACGGCATTTAATCTGTTCATTAATGAAGAATTATTTTATTTTGTCTCTGCGAACGTTTCAACAACGTATCTCTATTGCTTTAGCGAAACTTAAAAGCGATCCTAATTATTGTATACACTGATCTCATACCTTTTAAACACCGTAACTACCCTTTTAACTCCTGAGAACGGTAATCTACCTGGTTAACGAAACTGATCTCTTCTCCAATGTCACTACCATTTTCGAGCAAAGAAAAGATAAATTTTGACTCCCTTTCGCCCTTGTAAACGAATAGTTGGTTATTTTACATGCTGGTAAGGAGTTTTCCGTCACTGTGTATCAGTCATTACCCTATCTCTTTAGTATCAACGATGTTAACTGACAACAGACCCGTTTGTTATTCTTTTCAGCGCCTTCTTCCTGTTGACATGAAACCTGATCTTGCACCTGTACGACATTCTCTTGTACCATCACCCGAGGTGTACACAATAAGACCGTATCTGGACAGTGACAAGGTAAACTCCTCATTTTTTATCTCCATGTCCCCTTTTCGTCTAAATGATTACATATAATGAACTGTACAGTTTTTTAACTATGTTAATTATGATCATTATGACTTTTACTCTCTAATCTATTCTGGTTGATTGAGTCCAATGTTCCTAATACTTACTGCTCGAGCCTATTATCTTCTGCAGTGCGATCAAAAAATGCCACTCTACACACTGCATGCTTAAAGGCATTGAGTCATGGTAAATAGGCTCTCTCTATAGGGGGTCATTCGGTTTCGGCGTGATCGCTGCTGTTTCATGTGATATTGGCATCCGTTGTTGACAACTTGCTATTGATGGAAACTGTTATGTTAATCAGTACGAGGTGAGTTCATGTGACCAGTTCCAGGTCAACCAATAGCATCGCAGTCATGGAAATCATGACTCAGCGGATTTTGGCACTTAGGGTATACCCAGTCTATTTATCATGACTCAATGCCTTTAATGCCAGATACTACCTGATAAATGTTGGATAAAAGAAAAAATTTGGTTTATTTTTGTAACGAATGTGGTTTGTAACCATGCATGAAATATTAACGTAATCTTTACTTCCTGTCACTGTGTTCGTTCAACCTACGACCAGTTTTCACAAATAGAATAACACAAAATCTGATCTTCTAGTATTCTATTGGTTTCATTTCTATAACCGATAGGTTCACTGCATATTGAAATACCTAGCACCAAGAATGATATTCCCTGTTAAGATGGTAGGATGAAAACCAAAAATGAAATTCCCTGTTAAGATTCCTTATAGATTCTCATGTTTACGCTACTTCTAATTCTTAACTTCATCCTTCTTAATTCTAGAACGATGTGTATAACGTTTGTCGACAGGCCTACGCGATCGAATTCGGGGACGAAAACGCGTTGGCAAATCAACCTGACTTAGCAGGTGATAGGTAGGCCATTTTAAATTTTCAACTTTTATTTAAAATTCAGCCTTGTACATGTTTATAAAAGCAAGTAAAATAACTGCCAAATTTTTTATTTTTGTTGCCAGCAGCATACATGCTTTAATCTTGTTTCCCTGTTTGATCTTGTTGCCATTTTGCAAGAGTGAAATATTTTTGCTATGCTGAGGTTTGCACTGGTAATTATCTCATTTGTAGTTATCTGTTTCAAGACTTGGAAGTAGATCTGGTAAAATAAACTTGATGGTTTTCAGATTTATCCCTGCCTATTAGCTTGTTTAGGTTTGAGCGTTGATAATAAAGATATGAATTTGCATGATGTTGTTTCAGATTCATTGGTGCGTACTTACAACATGCAAAAGGAACATTCTTCGTTCTTGAAGATGAGAATGGACTGTGTGGGTATTGCGGGGCAGCATTAGACTGTAAAGATTTCAACGATAAGTCCCTTCAGTGGTTTGCAGAGGTATAAATACTTTTTTAGTTTTTCTGTTTTGTTATAGTAAATTAGTTGCCCTTTAGTATGTAAAGGGAAAAAACATGAAATCACTTATTCTGATACTCATTATAGCAGGAGTAGTTGTGTAATGAACTACGGGTGACCGGAATCTTCATCCAAGTCTGGGTCGAAATAGCTCCAGAGAGATAAATTAATTTTAATTGCTTTATTATTTTGAATTTTTGCATTTACTGGCCCCTCATCTGGTTGAAGAGCCCTAATGAAAAAGGAACTCTCTTTGATATATGAATTTCACTTTGTTGAAGATGGGTTCCAAAATGCACAAATGAAAAGACCCATCAAATGATACTAAAACTTAGTAACTACATGTTATCTAGTACTCTCGATACCACAAAGGGCATGAATCTTCATAACATCCCCGTGGCCATTCACAATTTTCTAAAAGACTGTTCCAAAAATGACGCAAGGCGTAAAACCCAAGGAGGGTAAATATGTACCAGGCGAGACACCCAGGAGGGTTTGCATGTTTATTATTATTATTTCAAGGATTTTGACTCAAAGAACTCCTTTACTTGCTTGGCTCAGTTTGTGTGTCTCATGGGTCAAATGACGTTTCTTAATTTAGACTTTCCTTGTCAGGTTTCAAAAGAGTACCAACAACCTGAATCCGGGTCTGGTTTTCAAAACCCTGAACAACGCCTCATTGAATTCCTACACAATCCCTCACTCGTCTATCCGAACGGTCTCTCCAATTACCCGGCCTCGCTTGTTATTGCTTTGTTACCGCGTGCCCAAGTAAGTCAGTTTCTTTCTTTTTTGTATTAAGACGTAGCTTCCTGTATACGTAAATTGCGCTTGCATATAACCACGATATAACATCGTTCGCCCTCCCTTTATTTTTTGCATTTCGCAGAACACTTTCATTTCAGATTTGAGATTCCATGTCTACTTTTGTGAGATTCTTAAGCGCTATTTAAATTGTTACCTGAAAATGTGATATATAGCAAGATTTCTATAGCATTATACCTGCGTAATCATTAATATTTTTTATTGACTTATTCACGCAATTTAATTATCATCTTTCGATGCACTTTGTTCCTCCAGGGCACCAGCATTGGTAAGCGAATTCTCACATGCCTCGTTTCCGTTCTCAAAGCTCATGACGTCATCGGAGTACATACAATAGTACGCCCAAGCAGCGACCGTTGCCTAGCCCTTCTTGGTGCCGTCGGCTTTAGTAAATTTGTTATAAACGAAGAAAACACTGATGGAGAAGTGATACTAGTTAGAAACTTAAAATCCAAGTAACAAGCCGCAAGGTAATTGAATTTAAAAGATTTAAACTCTTTTTGTTGCTCGAGGAGATCGCTGCGTCAGCCATCTTTTGTTCATTTCTTGGCCTTGTCTAAAGTATTGTGATTTAGATCGCGACTTCTTATTGAAAGAGAGTGAAAACGAACAAAGTCTGTTTGTTCTTTTAGTTTTTAATTCTCTTAAAGGGATTTAGTTGCAGCCAGAATGTTCGGTATAAAGTATATGTTAAATTGAAACTAATCAACAAGACTAAATTCGGTTTGCCTAAAACGAAAAATTAAAAATCAGAGTTTTCAAAATGCAGGTAAAAGATAAGATGGATTGCTTATCTCTCTTAATGTCTTGTCGATTTTTGTACACAGTAGCAGACTTTTCAAGTAAGAGAAATGCAGGCTATTTAGAAAGAAACCCAGTTGTAATCCTGTCTGAAATAATTATTGTTGAGTCTATGCAGAGTGTTCGAACAGAACAGATGATTATAAGCGACCCTCGAGATACAGGCCTAAGGTTCGAGTAGTGATTAGCCGAGAGTTTACGCTGAGTCACGTGGCCTCTCTTGCCACTGGGCCAATCACAGCTCCAGAAATAGTAAACGAATTTGTAAAAATACCAAATTTTGCCCCTAGATCAATGTTCTTTCTGGCTCTGTAGTCCAAATTAAGGATTCCTTTTTTGTTTTTGCTACTTCCAAGCTTCCAAAGAAAGGCTTTTTCAGGACACTGGAAAGCTACAGTCCTGGTCCTTTACATTTACATTTTTACATTTTTAATTATTTAGGCACGATAGCCCCGTCAATCCACGATAACTGCTTTTCAGGGGGCCGTGACAAGGACATTAATAAGTAAGAAGATAAATACTACGAAATAAGGGTCGTTCATAGTTAGTTTTTGATTCTTCTTATAAAGGTGGCAAGGGAAGGTGCCTGTTTGGCATCAGGTTCAAGTTGGTTCTAAAGCTCAGGTCTACGAAAAGAAATAGCTCTCTGCCCATTGTTTGTTTTCCGTAAGGGTAGCGAAATATCGGTATCGGTATTTCTCAGTTTTCTTACATTTGGAGTCGAATTTTTTTCGAAAAGGTTGGAAAGGTACTCTGGGACGAGCCCATTTAACGACTTGTAAATTATTGTGGCTGTTTCGCTTCTAATAGTGTCATCTATAGTTGGCCAACCCAAACTGCGAATCAGTGGTGTGACCCCACCTCGTGACCCCTACGCCTGGAATAACAAAGAGCTAGCGACTCCCCTCACTCTGGTTGAAAGTTTGGTCATGGTAGGGACCCGAACCCCGGACCTTTCGATCTGATGTCTACAACTCTAATCACTGAGTCACCCTCACAACGAAATTCCAAAGATCATTCTGAAAATGATTTTCCATAAGGTCATCACTTTGTTGGATGTCAAGTTGTTTAATTAAAGTGCAAAAGCCGTGATATTACGTGCTGTCACCCTTCAATATTTGTTTTAGCGGGAGATTTCATTGCATTCGATTTGGCGTGTGCAAATTATGATCATTAATGTGCAATCCAGTTGGTTAGCGGGCATTTTAAATAAATTGACTGGTTTGATGTTATTTGAATTTGTAGGATTGATTGTTTTTGTTTTATTGAGAAAGACCGCCTATCTATGCTATTTACAACCAGATGGTCTTGCAAAAAAATCCATTATAATCTTTAATGAAGCCTAAATCCACCTGACCTTTTAGTTTTTCCTAGTTTGCTTATAACTAATTGGCGTTTAAGTGCTCAAACTCAGTTCTGTCCGAAGTCAGGCGATCTCTGATTTAAATAATGGACGAATTGACAATCCACGGATTACCTCGAATTCCTTCGCAAAAGAGATGGTTTGGCAAACTTTTTTGGGCCTTGATGTTCACCACTTGTTGCGGAGTTCTCGTGTTGATGCTCTGGATGTCCTTGTTGAAGTTCTGGAAATATCCTTACACGACCACAGTTGAGTACAAACGTCATTCCACCTTGCCGTTTCCGTCTGTAACTATATGTGACAGTGACCGATCTATCTACGAACCTTTTAAGAAAGAAAAGTTCCCAACTACCTGCTCTACAAATGATTTTGCCAATAAGAGTGAACGTTTCAAGCATGGCTGCACGTTGTTCCTATCCGGTTTTCGGGAAGGCTGTATTTTTGATTCAGGCCACGCTTGTAGCTTCCCGAGCCACTATATTGCGGCGCCGCACTGGAATTTTTGTTACACTTTCAATAAAAACGGTTCATTTCAACAAACGGTGGAAGATAAGCAATACGGATTCGAAGTGATGATGTTGAAGAATGAATCCGGTCTCCGGTCCCAAGACGGACCTTCTATGCCGCCCCTGCGCCATAGTCAATTAAAGCGCGGTCTTGTGTTGTTTGTACACTCGCCACTTTATGCAATCGGATTCAACTCCGTGGATATAATACATCTGTCGCCCGGCTATTATACCGAGGTCGCAGTGAAAAAGGTAGTCAGAAAGAGATTGAAAGCTCCCTATTCGTCAACATGCTCATCTAAGAGCGACGTCCGTACTATTTTTGAAGGTAACTACACTGTTATAGGCTGTCTTGCCTCTTGCTTTACAATGAATATGTATGAAAAATGTGGGGATGTTCTGCCACCTGGAAGAGTTTTCCTGCCAAAACAACAGTTTCCAAAGATACCGAAAACCGCAAACTTAGATAAATGTCTCTTCGAGATCTACCAGACTTCAGGACAACTCGATTGTGAATGCCCCCTGCCGTGTTACGAAGAAGAGTTTGTCACGGAAGTTCAACAAACGCCATTGAGAATAACTTCCACAACACCAAGAATGAACAAGAACCTTGCAAGAGCTTTGAATCTTTCTGAAGAAGAAATTTCGTTGGAATTTTATAAGAAGAATATTGTTCGTTTGAATTTATTTTACAAAAACTTTATGGTCGAAACAATACGGGAGCAACCGCTTTACGATGTTGAGAGCTTGCTTGGTGATTTTGGGGGATTGATGGGGCTTTTGATTGGAGCATCTACGATTTCGCTAATTGAAATTCTATGGGTTTTAGCTGCCTCGATCTCAAATCTAATCCGCAAGAAAACCAGGGTAATGGATAACAGTTGAAGTGAATTGTTTGAAATGCAAGTGAAAATAATTGACTTGAATCGTTTGAAATGCTTTCGATTTGGTTCAAACAAGATTGTTTGTTTTTTTTTTGTGAAATTGACCTCACATAAAAGGTGTCATTACTTTCATAGCGAGCTGTGATAAAGGTTTTAAAGCTGTCATTGAAATATCGTGTTTTCTTACGTTGATAGGAACATCTCACAAAAATAATGGGATCGTAATTTGCACATAATTGTTGATTAAATGACTTTCTCTCACTATGCATTGCTGATTATAACAATTTGTGTCAGTTAAAACATTATCTACATATAAAGTAAGATGTCGTCAACATATAAACAAATCAATCACGCGTATTTGGCTGTGTCTCCAGACATAAGCGCTGTCACTGACAACGCGATGGTCAGTAAAAATATGAGCAAAAAGAAGCGATCCATTATTGCTGCTGCGAATTGCTTATGATCTTCCAGTTCTTGCAGAAGAGCTAGCTCAACTTTGTTTCCGATAAGTACATCCAAATCGTCTTCTTCCCTGCATTTGCGATACTCTCTGAACGCCTTGTAATGCTCTTGTGGCTCAGCAGTTAACGCATGCGTGCTAGTGTTAGCAAGGACATCGTGCATAAATATCCTCTTGAAAGGTTTCTGCAGCCGCTGTCTTTTAACTAACTGTGACACCTTAACGCGGGAATTATCATGACTATCAGCAATAGTTACCACTGTCTCGTAATGATGTGAGCCTCGTATTTCGCCTTCCTCATTTACAACTCCATGAGGGACATAATCCCGCGAAACAGTGTCATCTTCAGTGTACTCCTTTACAATTTTGGACAGGTGACTGCCTGCCCTAGGATGCTCCATGCAGAATATTGGAGCGATAACCTTTGCCAACCAAGCAATGAAATTGACGCGGCAGAATCTTGGCAAGTAATTCAAAGCATCGTCCCTGTAGAAGTAATTTAAACTGACGCAGTTAGCGAAAAGTGACAGTCCGATTTCGGACATTGTTATCATATAATACTTGGCGAGAAGCGGCACAGATTCTGATGTCACAGGCAACCGCGTCCATGCGAAATTCAAGAAAACGCTCATCGCCAGCATCACTGTTATGCTCAAAGTGATCCTTTGGCCCGACCTCGGGTTGATGCAGAATGCCAACACGGCCAGCGTTGCTATTATTGAACAAGGCAAAATTAAATTGAAAAGGTAGTAGAGTACTTTGCGTCTCATTTGAAACTTGTAAATTACTTCTGAGAAGGCCTTTTGGCAGCAGGCATACTTCCTGTCCCTTCCCTCAACTGGAATGTCCACAATCTCCCACTCTCCATTTTGAATATAATCACTCATGTCTCCTTTCATCTAAATAAAGAGGATTCTCAAGTAAACCAAATGTATTTTAACCCATCTTTTCATTAGTATCAGTGTGATTTTCAACTTTACTTTATTGGATCTCGATGTAAACGAAGCAGAATTATGATTTCCAATTGTTAGTGTTAGACGCAACGATATAAATGTGTTGAGGAACCTTCTTAATCTTATCAGAACTTATTATGTCACAGTTTGATTGCACGAATATGTATGAAAGTTTTTCATGTAAGTATTCCTTTAATTGACAGCCTTTCGTGGGCAGCCTTTCGTGGAGATGAATATAATTAAAGTCTATATTTATCAATTATATATATGTTGATCAATAAAAAATGTAAGAATTATTAACTATTAATGAGTCTTTGTTCAGCGTGTAATATTATGTAACGAAAAAAGAAACAAACCTTTGCTGGCCGCAATTTCAGTTTGTCAGAAGTGTAGGCCCACGATCCAAATGTCAAACGGCATTCCTGTAGAGGAAAACCGATATGTTGCCTCAATTAGCCTTTTGAACATCATTTAATCCAACGTAGCATAATGTGTGTTGAAATTTTTGCCTCACTTTTTAGGCTTTGTCAGCAATAATGGTTTGATGGTTTAAGGAGAATTACAGACATAGCGAATTACAAGACAGGCTAATAGAGAAATGGAGAATAATTTTCTTAGGCATGCTAAGTTTGAGCTTTGTTTTGCTTGGTGTAACTATGCTACAAAGACTGGAATATCTAGAATGGGTCCACTCACTTGCTCGTCAAAGGGGAAATTTCTCACGTCGAATTTGCAGGAACTTTTAAAAGAGACAGCCGCAAACCAAGTGTTTTTGCCGTTCGCCTCCAAAATCACCTTTGTTTTGTATTTCATTCGTCCACCAGAAAATGTGTCCTCGGCGCTATGAACAAAATGCATTGAGCAAGAATCCTAATAGCATGTTGAAATTAGGTACCTCTCAATAACAACGCAATCCAGAAAGATTGCGCATTATGTTCGAAAGCAAAATGTAACCATCAGTATCCACTGGAATAGCTACGGCAAAACTGAACTGACAAATTTCGAAATATTCTTTCGGGTTGTAAGGTTTAGAGTTGGAGCAAGGTCAGGACCTTTTAAGGCAGTAGATTCCCCTTCCGTTTCGGTGATTTTTGTTGTTGAAAATAGGACAAAGTTGCGATTGGTAAATTGTAAGGACAAAGTTGCGATTGGTAAATTGCTTTTGGTTGTAATCTGCAGGGTAATCTAGCTAAAAGTTTTGGCCAATTTAATGTGTTCCATGTGGGGCAGGCCCTGCGAGCCTAGACACTTTGGTACATCTAGCGACCCTGCTACAACTTGCAAAGAATGCTGTGACAATATCTACCAAATTCAATATTGTACAAGGGCAAAGCGCGAGTTTGTTGTTTACATGCTAAATGCTGTTTACAGCAGTTCTTAATGAAATTTTAGATGGTATGACGAAAAAGGTAATTCGGTTTAAGATGAGAGTCGAAGAGAGTTAGCGGAGGAATTTGAAGGAATAAGGCCTACTTGTTGTAGAGGATTATGGTCGGCACCCAAACAGCATCTGCATCCAGGTTGATTTGCGAAATGCCATTGTACTCAGATTCGTTCCATGCGAGCAGTGGATTCTCCCAAGTCTGCAAAAAATGAGTACTGGTGATATTTCAGTTATTACCTGCCTTGCAAACAGGCGTCTGCCATCAATTCTTAGCATCTTGTTGGTCAGTGCGCTTCTGCCTGACCATATGTTCTTGCATTGGCTTTTTGCACCTGTGTCTATTCACAGTAAGGCCTTGCCTGTCCGCCATTACACTTAAACTCTCGCAACACACCTGCGTGTAAGCCAATTCAGAAAGACTCACTTATGCAGAAAAACTCATCCACCCTAACACGCAAAAACTCACACCGGTTCAAGTTCTCGCTTGACATTAAGTATGGTCTCTATTTGGGCCTAAATATCAAATTATCTTTTAATGTACATTGTTATGCAAAAATCTGTGAAAGCTCACCTGCGTTATCCACACATTTGTCTGCATTTTCTGGTCCTTTTCACTCTGAAATTTAAAGAAAAGTCGACGGTGAACAATGCAAGTCTTAGGCTATGAACTCAATGGCCACCCTCCCCTACGTTTGGTAGAACCCACCCTCCTCAATGGCCACCCTCCCCTACGTTTGGTAAAACCCACCCTCCTCAATGGCCACCCTCCTCTATGTTTGGTTAAGGGGTGCAACAGTTTTCCACTTCCTCGCTTTTGCAGCATAAGCAAAACATATTAATGCGACACTCTGAACTTTTTGGGATCGTGAGATTTTAATCGTCTCTAAGCATTTGTCACCAAACTTCGACTTAACTGGCTGAAAATGGAAAAAGCAGCAATATTCCTAGTCCGTATTTCTGTGACGTAGCCATTGTACAAATGTATGCACACTATTTTTTATAAAAATATTGTTTATAAGAATATTCAGGCTCAGAATTGACCGTTTTTTAAGAATATTACAAGAATTTGCTCAGCCTCGGCTTCCATATGTGCATCTAGTGCTCAGCAGCTTCCAATTTAGTCATGGTCATGACGGAGAAACGCTTGACTCAAATATCTCGTCTTTTCACATAACGTGGTTTCTATTCGAGAAGGGGTGATATTCCCTTGATACCACATCAGTTTCCAAGAAAGTAAGAATACTTCACGAATTTATTCAGGCTCGATGAAAATTTTTTTAGAATATTGCGGCTGGACAAAATTTAATGTATTCTTATAAAGAAAATAAGTTTAAAGCGTAACAACTGGCAGCTCATTAGATGATTCTCAACAAGGAGTACGTGACTTAAGCCGGTTTTGCCATAATGAAAATGAGGACATGTTTGTCTAATAGTGGTGGTTGATACAGTAGCGATTGTTGTGAAAATTGATACAATAATAAAGACAAACACACCACCAGAACGACTTGAATCAACTTCATTTCGAATGTGACAATGACACTGTCATTGTACTCAAGGACCGGCCTTGCTTCTTTGTCATAATTGCACAAAAGGTCTTTCAGCAGTCTTTGCTCTTCAGTCCTTGCTTTCGTTCCTGTGAAAAACAATCGAATACTTTAGAGCTGTTTCTGGTTCTTTGAAGAGGAGGGAATCAGAAACAGACGATCTATCCATGCGGTTGTGTAAAAGTATGAAAAGCCGTTGCATAATTAAGTATCATGTAGCATTGTCGATAAGTACAATACCCAGAATAGCGGAACAGTGGCAATGAATTTAAGACAACAATGAAATGTTTGCAAGAGGCCTGTGCCGTTCATTTTTCCTTCCACCCTTGCAAGTAGTCCTTGAATACTACAAGCATCTCCCTTTCCTTTACAAAAACACCCAATGTTCCATTAAACGCCTTTTCTCTCTTCCCATAACCCTGACGTAATTTTTAAAGCAACGAACGATTATTGTGATAGTTTTGTCTTGTGATTTATCTTGAATAATCTTTTTGAACGAGGTTTGCCTATCATACAAGCTTTTTTGGGGGGACAAGGAGAAGTGAAGTACAGTCCCTGCAAGAAGTCTTGGTACACTGACGTCAGTTTCCATGGTCAAAATCAATCATCCCCCTCTCCCCCACGGAACAATGTTGGTTTACTATCAAACGGGTTGGGATTTTAGGAAGCACTTTCTTTTGCGCTCCTTTTGTAATATTTTTCTAAATTGTCAACATTGTTTCGGAGGGAAGGGGGTGCGGAAATAGGAGTATCCGGGAAAATAATTTAAAAATATAAACATAACGCGTATTGCTTGGTGTTCCAAGTACTTTTGGCAATGATTGTAGCTGATAGACATGAAAAAATATCATTGATTTTTCCATTAAAGAAGCAATCATTGTTTGTTTGACAGGTAGTGCCCTTGGCGGATAAAAATATTTGATAAAGTGATTTGTTCTTATCTTTCAAATAAGTGATACCTACTCTTGATAGATTGCTACTTGATTTTCTTAATGATTCAATTACATGTTAAATTCTGTGATGAATTCTCGCTCAAAACTGTGATTATGATAGTATAACACTGATGATATGATGTAACACATTTAGAAGTTAATACAAACCTTTGTTTTTGAATCTTGCATTGGTGCATTCGGTCGGGGCATCAGCATTGACAGTTATTGCCAACAACGCAATTGATATCAACAGGCTGGTGATGTGCTGAAATGAAATCGAATTCTCTTCGAGAAGCTGTTTAGGATTTCGATTAAAACAAAGTTAACTGTTGTTTTTAACCAATTTAGCGACGAAAGGAATAGTTTGCTATTAGCGACAAATTATTCGTGGCCTAGCCAAGCTATGTCGACGAAACTGTTATTTTGTTTGCACATGTTAACATTAATCATTACCTCATTCCACCATGTCAAGGAGAACATTCTCCGTTAGTTGTTGCCGCTCAACCTTAGTTCCTACCTTTAGCGACCACCATTAAGTGTAAGGTCTGCCACCGTTTCACTTCAGTCGCGGTTTTCCTGCGGGAAAAACCGTGCTTTATTCAAACGCGATGAAGAAAATGTCCTAGTCTTGAATTTGAAGGAGAGGAAAGAGCACTGACTACAGCCAAGCGAGCGTTGATGAATAATTAAGCAAAAACATGGAGAAGAACGCTCATTCCCTTCACAGATTTGACATGTCGCGGTTTCAGTTATCCTATATTAATATGGCGCATTAAAAATTTGTAAATATGATGACGCAAAAAACATTTAGCAAATCTCAAGCACTTGTATTTAGATTCTCTAAATAATGTTCTGTAGTCTCTATTTCACTAGAGCCTTTCTTTAAGTCAGTATATGTAAGGATAAAATCTATGAAGATGATATGAAGAAGATGAAGAAGATGATAATGCAGAGATATCTTCATAGCAACAAAATACAGTGATATATTTGTGGCAACACTTACCTTTTCTGTCAAGAATCTTGGCGAGCGACCGTTCATTTTCAACGCAATTTTCACACAACTTGGCATAAACCTGTTGCAGGAATATTTACGCGCGGTTTTCACTTCTCAAGGCTCAATAATTCCGAAGCAGAAATGTTTTCAATCGTTTTGCTATAGTTTTATTGTTGCATTGTACAAGAATTGGTCAGTCGCGGCTTGCCCTTGCCGGAGGTGCGCACCTGTTTGATCATCCTTTTGTTAATCTTTGTGTAATGAATTCTTAATTTATTCGTATTTAATTAAGTGTAAGCATTTTCCAAAATTTCTTACCTGTTTGAATCGTTTCTTACCGAATTATAATTTTTGAAAACTTTTGATACTCGCCTTGTGTTTTTTTGCCTGCGAGCAATTCTGTAACTAATTTGTTGGAAAGACCAACCATCAGAATGAACACTGTATGTTACGGAGGATCATTGCTACGGAGGAGGTTTAAGAGTGTGATGCCCCCTTCAAATAAAATTCCCTTTGAAGAGCGAGTTGTTTTGTCATCTTTGGGTGCTTACTGGGCAAATTTTCAAACTTGTCAGCAAATAAGGGACTGGCTCACCCTCTTTGTCGGCAGATTTTACCAGTACATTCCCAAGAGGACAATAGCTAGCGATGGCACCAGAGGTATCTTTTGATATTGGGAACTTCATACTACCAAACAGTTACTCGGCTTTAAACTTCATATCAAAGAATCCTTTTTATAGGCTTTGCCACATCAAGAATTTTTGTAAATGTCGATTAGTATTGATTAGGGTTTGTTCATAATTTCTGACGTCATCGGGTTGGATCACCTTACCCCCGCCTCCTGCCGGAAAGCCACCTGCATCTCGAGAGTGTGTTTAAAAGGAAAAAATTGAAAGTTATGGACATTTCTATTAAGTTTGATAAACTTCTTTGAATTTTTGGAAAGACCTTGACGAATGATTCTCAATAAATGCCCTTGAACACCGGCTATGTTCAAAGACAGTTTGTTCAAACAACGAATTGATAATTAGTGCAATGGAATATGGTTTGGGAAAATCTTTTTGCTTGAAGATGACGTCATTGACCGCCTTAAGGCATTTTTAATAAACAAAATAGATTTTAATTATTTCTATAAATTTCATTAACATACAAAGGGACGAGAGGTTTTGTATAAAAACATCAGCAATGATTATCTATAAATTTGATCAAAGCTCATCGGAGAAATCACTAATACTTTCAATAAATTAATTCTACGGAAATGTACAAGTCTTTTGATAGGTTGCTTTACCTAGCAAAGAAATACTTCGTAAGTTATTGTTGAACTCTATCGTGTTCAACATTTGACATTCTATCAAGTATTTCTTCAATAGAAAACAGGAATGCTATGAATATCGCCTATGTTAGCTACTTCGAAAACTCGCTTGTCTAACTTAATTATGTATGCTTCCTTCTTTGATGAAAACGATTTTTGAATCGATGCATAAAGTTTTAAATGATTTAAAGAAATTTGCCCTGTTACAGAGAATAGTTTCTCATTGTAGAACTTTTATCATCTATCTACGTTTTTTTGCTTATTGGAAGCACTTACTCAAGCAGATGTCTCTAGAATTAGAAACCAACATTTCATATTAACCTTATCTAACCAATTTTAGTTTGGAATAAGCTTGGTATTGACTTGCCAATGCTCATACAAAATTTGTTCATCGAATATATACTTATTCTTTCATTGAAAATTTAAATGCAATCAACACATTGACAGTAAGTTAGCAGTTCGAGCCATAACTTTCGTCTTTGCTTTCTTGACTTGATCTCTTTCCATCCTTACCACCTTTCTTCTTTTTTCGGAATGGGAGACAGGCAGACAAAAGCAACTTGTTCTTTCCACTATACGCTAGAACCATCTCACTGTCCTTGCTTGACTTTTTCTCTTTGCCCTTCGTTGATGATGGGCTTTGGTATTTATCGTCTCCATCTTGCCCACAAGGTGATACCCGCTCCATTGGCACAGGTGTTGAACCGAAATCAGTTGAAACATAACTGGAGAGGTCAAAGTCCATCGATGATGGTGACATGGATGACTGGGTCAAGAGTGAAGAATGCCCGAACAAAGAGGAAGATCGTGCACTGACTGTCGAGGAGGGAGTTTTTCTGGAATCCTCAAATCTGAAAATAGAAAACTATTAAGGATGATATGGAATAGTCAAAGCCTTTCATGGTAACATTAAATGCAAATTCGCTGATCAGTAAGCGAGTGTCCTGTATCATGCTCACTGAATTGGCAATTCTTGATTGACAACCGGGTCAAGCCACTTTTATGTCTGTCGATTGCCTTTAAGCTCACCTTATATTTTTATAAGAACTTTAATGTGATAAATATTTATTAAAACTCAATTCTAATCTCATATCTGATACTCAATAGTGTGTGAATCGAATGGCAGTCGTCATAGGCATTTCCTTCAGCCATATATGATGACGTCATATCGGCCAAGAGAGGCCATAGTAATTTTGCCATTTATTTACATTCAAATTAAAGTGACTTGTAAGAGGCAGTTATCATACCTTACTCTTTGCTGAGACGATTTTGCATCATCACCTGTTAAATAAGAAAAAATCAAAAACAAATACATATATGTATTTAAGAGCTAATTAACATTGTTATAATCAGCTAATCATTGTTATAATCAGCTAATCAACATTGATTATATGAAGTCTGAAAGTTCGACTGGCTTTAATACATTTCCATTACTCGACTCTCAATTATTTCTATTCCATATTGCATTGTTTTGTTTATTTTTCTGTGATAACATTCTCTCTTATGATCATCAATCTGATGATTGCCTACTCGTCCCTGCCTTTTTATCAAATTGACTTAAACTGCTTTATTAAAACATAATTATTTCAACGACATTCAGTAAGTTGCTTTAAGGCTAAAGTTGCTTAAAGCTAGCTTATGACCAATGTCATATGATCATCTTATTGTGCAAATGCGCGAACGATTGTTGGTTCTGACTTCCAGGCAACCCTAACAAACTAGTCATTTTAAATGAGAGCCAGGCTTGATGGGATATCTTAGGATTTTGATCTTATTTTCGCCATTATACGGACTTTGCATATATAATGGATTACACATTTCTTTCACAATAACATTTTGAATTAATAGTAGTTTGTTTTTGGAATCGAGGTGAATTGAAGTTTTCATGCAAAACATACCGATCATAGATGTGCCAAGTCTAGGGTTCAGTCTTCGAAACGGAGATGTCGGCTGAAACTAGAAGAAGAATAGGAATCATATCAATCATGTATACGATTAATCATGGTTTAGACCGATCACGTGAATCTGAATCTCGATTTAAATTTTTCCTTAGATATGTTCTGACGTTTCATACTCTGAAGAGTGTCAGACGAAAAGCTTTAGCATATTTCAAAATATTTCTTTTTTACAAAGCCGTTATTAAATTCTGCACCACAAAAGATTGTTTTCCCTTTATGTTACAATGCTAAGGCGCTGAATGACTGGCAAAATTTCAGCCGTTTAAAAGAATGAAAACTCACTGGACTTGTTTGGTCTCCTTGAGCGATGTTTGTTAGACTCGAAGTAGACCGCAGAGTTGATGCTGAAGATGTTATCGAGTTCAGCGATATCTTCCTGAAGTCACGCTCAACTTCGGTTGGAGATAATCTCATCATGACACAAGACAACATTGCTTCCAGACGAATTTTCTCCAGCTTTGTAAGCAGCAACTCTTTCTTCAGTTCAGCATTTTCAATTGCCTGCAGTGTTAGTTTTTCCGTCTTCTTTGCCTGCTCTTTTGACACCAGACTTCGCCTCGACAACCATTTGGCTCCTCCGATATTCCATTCTTCTAAACCTTTCGACCTTCTCTTAGACCCCCGTCTTCTAGGCAGTGTTGCTGGTAGCCTTTCTAGCTCCGACTGCCTCATTGCGAGGCTGTTTTCTTCCTCATCTTCAAAGGTATTCGTTTCTGCGGTCCTCGAGTGACCACGCCTAAAAACTGAATCGGCATCACTTTCTGGTGATGTATTCGTTCCGATTTCTTTGAGGACCGGCATTGTCCTTTCCCCTGTGTTATAATCAGACACGCTTTCATCATCAGTCTGTACTGCATTGCTTTTATATTCAACCCTGTAGGCCGGTGAAGTCCCAGTAGCAATGACCTTAGTGTCGATGTATGGAACGGGGGTCGATGTCTCCAGTGGGCAAGTCATTCCATCATCTGTCGTTTCCGCGCAGAATGAGTCGCCATCCTCAGAGTATTCGAAATCACTTGCGTGCCACAACAGGCTTTCCGATTGTTCTTCGTGGACAGCTTGCACCATTGCCAATTGCTCTCTCGCTTTTCGGATCTCCAATTCTAACTCCTCCTTGCATTTAAGAGCAACTTTGTAACTTTCTTTCGAGATCTGCACATTGTCATCACCACTTTCTGTTGTGTTGTTTGCGATGATTTTGTCGAATTCCTGCAACATGTCCTCATACTGACCCTTGACTGTAGACAAAGCTTTTTGCAGTTTGTCTTTTTCCTTTAATGCTAAACTGAAATCAGATTCCATGCTTGTAGACGATGGAGTTGGAGAGATTGACAGCTGCCTTGGAGATAAAGCATCTCCAAGCGAAAGCCTTAATTCTTCCCGTGACATTTGTCTTTCCCGTCCGGGCTGGCTTTGACCACCGTCCGCCTTCCTTCTATGTAGTGCCACTTGTTTGCCAACACTAGCAAAACTTTCTCCTCCACTGAGGAAATCTAAAGCTTGCTCCCTTTTGGGCGATATTATTCTCGGTTCTCCGATGGAAATTGGTCGGTACTTTGTTTCTTCATTGTTCTTGACAATTAATGCTTCTTTTACGTCATCAATGTTGTCACTGCATATCAAACTGTCCAAGACTTTATACTCTCCATTGGAGCCACTGCTATCGTCTAAAGATTGCGCAACTCTAACATCCTCATTCGTTGTCCCAGGAGCACCGCCGGCATAATGTCTCCTTTTCCGATCATCAGAGCTTTCCACAACTTTATACGTTCGCTCTGAGCTTTTGCTAGCAGGCTTTCTTTCTGTTTTTGTTGAATCGCTTTCTTCTTCTTTGATTCCTTCGTCGCTGAAATACCTCGCTTCCTCTTCAACAGAGTCTCTATTCCTTTCTCTAGAGGGTTTTTCACTGGTATACGAATGCACCAACTGGCCGCTATTGGTTTCCTTTACCATAGGGATGCCAGTTTCCTTGCTTGTGTCAACTAACTTTCTTATACTTTCGGCATTTTGATGGAAATCTTCGTAATTACTAATTTTGTTTCTTTGGTTTGCCTCGTTACCGGGTACCTGTTCCACTTTACCTGAAGATGGAGTGCTGGGTGAGGCTATATTCTGTGCATTTTCCTCCTCCGATGTTACACCTCTTCCTTCATGTGGTTGTTTCGTTCTTAAATCAACTCGACTGTCAGAATACTTTGAGTTAGGCTCATCTATTGTCGTGGAAGGCCCATTTCCATCGTTAGCAACAACATCTTTCAACTCGATAACTTCTCCTTGCTGTGCGCTTATTTTCAAGTCATAACTCCTCTTAACTTCATACCGCGTTGTATTTTCATAGTTTATTTCCTTTTCTACCGTAGATTTTTGCTTGCCTTCTAAAACTTCACTGTGACTTTGTAAAATTTCAAATTTATCATCGCTTGGTTCTTTTTTCGAAAATATTTTTGTCTCAGTAGCAATATTCGAATGAATAGCTGCACCATCTCCATCACCTTCTCCTTTTCTTATCAAAGCAAAGTCAGTTTCAATTGTTTGCTCGTTAACATTTCTACCTTGAACTGCTAATTCCCCCTTTCCAGAATAAACTTCATGCAAGTCACCCGTTCGTTCCCCATTTCCAGAATCAAGTTCGTCCAAGTCACCCTTTCGTCTCTCTTTCTTTGCTACTCCCCCCTTTCCGGAATCAATTTCGGCCAAGTCGCCCTTTCGTCTCTCTTTCTTCGCTATTCCCCCTTTTCCGGAATCAATTTCGTCCAAGTCGCCGTTTCGTCTCTCTTTCTTTGCTATTCCCCCCTTTCCGGAATCAATTTCGTCCAAGTCGCCCTTTCGTCTCTCTTTCTTTGCTATTCCCCCCTTTCCGGAATCAATTTCGTCCAAGTCGCCCTTTTGTCCTTCATTCCTTGCTACAATATCCATTGATTTAGGCATTTCCAGCTTCTGTGTTTCTAAAGTGTCACCTTTCTGGGAAACTTTTTCAAACAAACCACTCTCTTTCTCTTCCCCAACTCTCCCCGAATTCCTCCTTTCTCTTTTTAGGCTCTGCTTGTCAATTTCTGTCTCATTCTTGCCTTCAGATGTCGGTTCAAAGGATTGGAAGCCGCTGTCATCTAAAGATGTTAACCTTGGGCTAGGCCCAGTCTGCTCTTTAGTTGACTCCTGTGGATGAAAAGGCCGTTCATCAAAGCGCTCTGTTACCATTGGAGTATCTTTTGTTATTATAGCACTTCTGTTATCCACTGAAGGAAAACCCTCGTGGCTGGATTGTAGAAAATTAACTGACATTGGTAAATCCTGATCACGTGATAGTAAATTCTCATTACATGATCGTAGAACTTTAACTGCTTTTGGTATATCCGGAGAATATGATGGTAATCCCTGGTCACCCGATGGTAAGGTCTCGGTCTGCGGTATCAAAACCTTGTCAAGAGCTGGTAATCCCTCACAGTCTGGTCGTAACCCATTTTTATTCGATGGTAAACTCCCAGAATGTAGTTCTGACCCCAAAGCCTGTATTGGTAGGCTGCGAGGATCATGTGCTGAACTTTTGTCACCGGCAGCATCAGATGGTAAGTCTCTACCTGGAGATGGCAAAAACACTTGTTGTGATTTTACACTCTCGTTTTCTGTTGGTAAACTCCCAGAATGTAGTTCTGAGCCCAAAGCCTGTATTGGTAGGCTGCGAGGATCATGTGCTGAACTTTTGTCACAGGCAGCATCAGATGGTAAGTCTCTACCTGGAGATGGCAAAAACACTTGTTGTGATTTTACACTCCCGTTTTCTGTTGGTAAACTCTCAGAATGCGCTCTTAAGCAATCAACGTTCGAAGAAAAGCTCTGAATCTGTGATTCCAAACTTTGATTTTGCATCGATGGACCTTCAGAATGAGAGGTTAATTTATCAGTATGCGTCGTTAAACCATTATCGTTAGGTTGTAGCATTCCTTTTTCCGTGAGAATTCCTTCTAGACTGGATTTTACACGGTCCGTATGCGAGAATAGATCATCTGCATCAGATTTGATACCCCTATCACCCAATTTTGAACTGTCAACATGACTATATGAAAGATCTTGCTTGGATGCCCCTACACCAAAGCTCTCCGGTGCGATATCTTCAGAATGTGACGACAAATCATCTTCCTTTGACATATTTCCTTGTGTAAGTAAGGGTTTTTCAGTTAGCTGCATATTTGAAAGATAAATTTGTTCATCGTTTCTTTCCACCGCTTTATTTTCAGCCAAAACTTTACTATCTTTGCTTTTGAATTCAATTGTACTGGCCTCTTTCTTTGTAATACTACTTTCATCATGTATATTTAAGGTATGGTGCTCTTTTTCTAAATGAATTGTTTCCTTTTCTAATTTCCCGTCACCATCGATTTTTGTTATCTGTTTTTCATTCCAGTCTATTTTTTCCATACTAATATTCTCTATAGTTCTTTTATCATTTTCTTCTTTTCCCGTAGATCTCTTTATATCTAAACCATCTACATTTGTGACTATTGCTACAGTCTTTGCTTGATTAGTTATTTTACCATCGGTCACCGAATCAACTTCATGAGTAGAGATTCTACGTGTAACTTGGTTCTCATTATCGTCTTTCGTAGACTGAAGACCAAGTTCGCTTTTGCTGTCTAGTTTTCGATCCGTTTCCAAAGCATATTTATTGATCTGAGTTTCACTATTACCAAATTCAAGATAAACTTCTTTGTTGACATGATCTATTTCCTCCTGTAAATTCAAAGCTCCGTCTGTCTGTTTTGTTTCACATGAATTTCTCTTTTTATCAAAGGTCACGGAACCAGTCTCTTTATTTTCTGCAACGTGTTCTTTGTCTTTGTCTAGACTAGTTGGATGTTTTTTGACGATGTCGTCATGTTTCTTTGCATTTCGTGTCGAAATGACTGCATCATTAGATCCAAGCTCTATTTCCTTATGCATATTTGCATCTTCACTTGAAGCTAAGTAGTTGGAATTTTCATCAGTCTGACAGTAGCTATCTGCCAAAAAATTACCATCTATAATCTTTTCTTTATCCTCTCTCGCTAAATCATAAAGTGTTTCATGTTTGTTTGTTTCTACTGCCCCTCCCGCAATTTTTCTATCGACGGTGCCATCTTTTTCAATAAATCCATGCGATGTTATGGTTTGCTTCGATATAGCATCTGCCCTGCTCTCCTCTTCCAAGCCAGGAGCCATTATGTATTTCTCTTGTGCTTCAGCAGAAAGCTGCTCGTACCTTTCAATTTCCTCAAGTTCATCGCATTCTGCCAGAAAAATATCCTGAAAATTAAGAGAAAATTCATTTTACTGCTATATTTCCTTATTAAATCGAATAAAATATATGCAGATGGGATACAAATATGTGTTAGTATGAAATTACACTGGTGTGAGCAATTAAAACCAAAAAATGTTGTCTTAGGTCATCCTCTCTGCTTTATGCAATGATGGTAATTTAGATAATAGCAGCATCTAGCCATACAAACCTGGTGAGCATAATATGGCATATAGCATAATAAACTGACTCGGATTTCGGCTATAATTTCGGACTTGCCTCTGATTTCTCACCGATTTGACATAAGCCACGAAATATGTAGGTAGATTTATAATCTAATAGAATTATTTGCACTTTACAGACAACAGTCAGGCTAAAAATCTTCAGCTTCAGTATTAAAAGATTCAGAGATTTGTATTCTACCTCCATCAGTTGAAATGAGTCATGTCTTGGTGTTGGAGTTCGGCTTCTTGCCGCCAGCACTGGGATCTTTGACGGCCCTTTCCTCCCCTTTTTTAGTTCATCTTGCATCTTTTTGAAGTGCTGTTTTTCACTGTGATAAGCGAGTTCTTCAAGAAAGAGAATTAGTATTGTATAGAAACTTTTATAGAAAATAGTGAGAATATTTAAGGACCTGTTTGAAAAGGTAGTGATTAAAAAAGTATTGTTTTTCATATGCAAAAGTTAGAGAAAAAAGTGTACCTAATTCTTTCAGCTTCTTTGCAAGGTACTCAGACAATGCTTTGTAATCAATCTGAAAAGCAATAACAAGGCAATGTGACACATTTTGTTTACAATTAGATTATTAGAAAGTGGTTCCTGATTATTGTGTTATAGGAGTTGCTTATATTTGTGCATATTTTCTAAATAATATCTATGTATACCAACTTTCTCATTTTTGTATTCTCAATAGAAAATATGTATACAAAATATTACCCAATAGAAGGCAGTGCCATGCTAACACCCATTATTGTTCATTCAGTGACATTCATTACAGATATACCGTAATGCCTCGAATAAGCGCCCGGGCGCTTATTTAATTTTTAAGGCTCCAATGTGGGCGCTTATTCGAGGGGGCGCTTAATCGAAGGGGGCGCTTTTTTAAAAAAAGATTTGGAAGTGACTAAAAAAATAAATGTGTTTTCAATTGAAGCACGCTATTATGATGGAAAGGCAAAAAATGAGAATGAAAACTAAAACAAACTATGTTGGTCATTCAATCTTTCTTGGTGAATTGCATTCCAATTATGTTGTCGTCGAAAATTCGAATAAGCGCCCGTTTCTGAAGGTTGAAGGATAGGCGCTTATTCGAGGGCAGGGCGCTTATTTGAGGGGGGCGTTTGTTCGAGGCATTACGGTATGCAGATTAATAGTAGCAACTCAAGTTAGTTTAGAAGGTTACTGTTAGATTTGGTGACATAAAGGTGGTACGAATATTGCGAGAGATACCTTTGGATACAGGCCACTACCGTGTCTCGGCTTCGTAATGTTATAGACGTGTGCAAGGTGCTAGAAACAACACACAGTGCAAGTAAAATTGCAATCATCCGATGCAAATAGGTATGCAATCAGTATCTACAGATATGCAATATATTGCTGGGTGCAAAGCATGTGAAAAATGCGTGCAAAGAGGTATGTAATCACTCAGTGTCAGGAAATACACAATTGATAGGTGCAGAACTTGTGTGCAAAGAGGTATGCAGTCACTCAGTATCAGGAAATACGCAATTGATAGGTGTAGAACCTATTTGCAAAAAAGTATGCAGTCATTTGGTATCATTATTAGTAAAAGAGTATGAAGTCATACAGTGAAAACAACTATGCAATCAATATGTGCAGGAAGGTATGGATTTACTGAATATAAGTAAATATCAAGTCGATCAGTTGGTAGGCAAGCAAAATATCTTCTTTCAATAAAAAACCTCATGTCCTCTTTCATTATGTTTAAATCAAGCAAAGCATATTTGTCATTACAGTTATCGTTATTTTATAAAATTTCTCAAGGTTATTGCTATTATGTTATCTTGCATTTTCTATAGCGACCTTAACCGTAAGACTTCGTCGGTGAATTTGATGGACGAGGAAGGTAATGAATTGACAAGAAACAACCACTGATGTGATAAATAAAAGTAAAATTTATTGTAGCGTTTAAAGGCCATGTGAGATTTTGTTGTATTTTAAAGGTTTGAAAAAATGACGGAATCTCGAAATTTGCGCTCTAGGTTTAATTTATTTATCATCATTTTATTTATTTTCATTTTATGAAAGTCGTTCTTGTAATTTTCATTTTACATGTAAAATGCCTATCGTTATGCTGTTTATTGCTTCCTCTTGCTAAATATGAGTGAATGAATACTAGTAGCAAGACATTATAATAATTAAGCTCAATTTTCAGTCTGGATTGCAAGACATCATATTCTTCTTCAGTATGCAACTGAAAAGTGACAAACAATACTGGCAATGGTTTCCATAAATCCTCTGGGACATTTGTTTTTTGTTTGTTTTTCAGTGCGGGGTTATTGTTTACGCTGGATCTGTTTTATCGCTCGTTCAATTCGTTCTTTCTGACGTTATGTGACCACGCTGTCCTTTCGTTCGCTGTCAGAAGGTTGCAGTAATTGATTTTCTCGTTCGCCATTTGCTGCCAATTCGTCATTCATAAGTCTTGGTACAAGTGTAAGCCAAAGTAAGTCATTTGTTTCTAGCTACTGCGTTTTAACGTGTTTATAATAACTTTGCTGTGTCGCTTTTGAAGTTCATGTATTCTCTTCTTTCATTCCTTTTTCTTATTTCTATCATGTATGTAATTAAGTCATTTAAATCTTGATTGTAGTTCAAACCGTATTTCATTCATGATTGAAAAGTTTGTTTATCACGTTCGAATCTTCGCAGAAAGCTACCCCGGTGATTGGTGCGGACAGATTCATTAATGCTACCCCCTCCCCCCCCCCTGCGGGTTACACAGCCAGCTTAGAAGTGGCCTAAAATTTTAGCCACATTCCGCCAATCTATTTTTATCCTTTTGCCATATAATTCAACAGCTTTTTGTTAATTGTTTACAACTCCTACGTTGCAACATAAACCGCCTTTTCATGATGCTCATAGATTTCTTTTATTGGCTTGTGAAAACTCATCATATAGTTGATGCTCATCATAGTTTTATTTATTATTTTTAACACTAGATATAAAAGTGAAAGGAATATCCTCCTTTTGAGAATTATTGTTATTGATTTTAATTTAGAATTGATATTTAATTTCTGCCTCTTTGAAAGTTTTATTTTTACCGTTTTTAAATCTGTTTTTTCATCACTCGCCTCTTCAGATGGCTGTAATAAAACATATCAATTAGAAGTAAAATAATATTTATCAATACATCTGATTTTATTCACTATGTGTTTAAGTTTACTTTTTTCTATTATCTTACAGGCTTTGTTTTTATCTATTTTATCTATTTATTTATTTGTTTAGATTATTCATATCAATAAAGCATGTCTGTCAGCTGAATTTTCATTCCATTTCTTATTTTCTGAAACTTAATGTGTATAATCAAGAAAGAAAAGACAGAGAACTTTTCCACCATATCAAAATTGCAAAATCAAGCTGGGTACCTCTATATTCGGAGACGATGTTTTTGTCACCCTTAGGGCGCGTTGTCCAAAGTTCAAGGAACATTTCGTTTCGCTGATAAAACGAATCGAAGATGAAACACATATCTACAAAAAAGACAGACGCTTTTCACTAAAGGGCGATGTCACACAATTGTTCATTGTGGTAATAATCTTGTTAAAGAAATGTTTCTAAGCCTAGAATTAAATCAAAGGCTATAAATCCTCACCATCAAACTAGCCCTGCTGTTTCCTCCTAGACTTTCTTTCAGAATTCTTGTCAAGGTGGAGTTGCGAAAAGGTACATGATGAGTTCCAGCCGTTGAGAGAGCATGGATAACATTTCTAAAATGAGCGTAAATAACATCAAATGAATAACCTCTAAAGAAATTCGCTTATGCTTTTAAGTGAAAAAGATGTTCGAATTAGTGTAAGTTTTTATCTCTTTGCCTTAAAGGGAGCTTTTTAATGCTCAGTACTTGGTCCAAATTATAAGCCACGGGGTCGATTTTCTTGGTGCTTCTATCGAAAATGACACCACCTCCAGCCCAAAACCTAAATATAACAAATCGAGGTGTCGGGGTTTACTCACCCTAGTTCTAATAAGGATGTATTGATGTATCTTGCTTCTTTCCATCGTTCACCTGAAACACCACTTTTCTTCAGTCTCTCTGATCCAGCCAAATCACATCTAGTCCAAAGAGAAATAGTTCTCACAATTCCTCTTTTCAATTAATTGTTAGAAGAAGAAACAAGAAGTAACACGGACGCTAGTGCTTTCAAAATTGACACATTGTAACATGCGAGAAGACAGCTTTTATATTGTAACATATGGTATCTTGTGGAAGATGATACATTAAGTACCAAAAAAGTCGGTGTGATTATTTTTTGGTGAAGCCGGGCAACCAAAAATTAATACCACCGAAATTTTTCGTTACTGAAATATTTTTCTAACCGAAATTTTAGAACGCTATAAAAAATTCATTTTACACCGATGGACTTTTTAACTGAAAAAAATTCCCTTGATATTATTTAAACATACAATAGATATCAATTTCGGCTTCTGGTTTTCAAGAAACTCGAGTTCTCTATAGGTTGGACTGATGCTTCTACTGGTTTTTATAATTTCTCCCAATTTTTTTTTTTTTAAACTTATATACTCAACAAAATATTTTTTGTTCATCGAAATTTTTCTACTTCTCACCGACATTTCAAAAATATGATCAAAATGTTTTCTACCCAAAACTAATCCATCAAAATATTTGGCACCGGATTTTTTGGTACTTCATGTATGGATCTTTCTGGAATTGAAGTTTCCCACAATCAATTGAAGTTTTTCATACTTACAAGTAAAGTTTCCCTTTTAAGAAGGATTCTCCAACACTGAGAGCATCTGGGTCGATTTCCTAAACACGATATGATCATCAGAATACCAAAATTGATATGAGCAGCTGTACACATTAAGAAATACCAAAATGCTGATTGTGTGGTCTAGTGTGATTGCTACAGCAACTTTTATTGCCACGGCAATCAAGAGATAATTTACTGGTACCTTAAGATATAACAAAATCAACTTTCTTTACTGTGCAAAAGAGAACATGCAAATTATACACATGCAGTCTAGAATTGCTTTGAGGACATTTAAACAATATTCTTTATATCTATTTTCATTTATTTTTTCTAATGACATAAATAAACTATAGTTTTTTATTGTTCATAAATCCTGTGCCGCCACATAATATAAATAGCTATATAGCAATTTCATTTCTTACAATCGCAGTTTCTGTTGACAGTTGTCTCTGAATTGCTTCTCTGCTCTTCTTTTTCTGCACTCTAAGGATGCACATAGAGTGTGACCTAAACAACGAAATTGATGGCATTAATCTCGGTTGTAACAGCAAGCTACAACATCATTAAATGCAACAGGGAAGCAACAGTGCAACAGGGACTGTACAGTGCTACTGAGACTCTCTATTCTAGTTCTACATTGATAAAAACTCCAATGACATAAAATATTCAATTATTTTTACTGGATCGCTGGAATTGAACCATCTATTCAAGGTCTCGGTTAAAATCTAGCAATATCACTTTCTAAGTATATTACTACGGCACAGCTTCATTCATCCATTTATCACATTGTGCAGCTACTGCATGTGTCTCGTAAGGCTACAAAAATGGTTGCAAATTCTTTGTTCATACCTGCTGGACGATCGAACCATCTTTGTCTCGGCCACATATAGCTGCCTTCGCCCGTACTCCAGTAGAGACTCGGCATCTTTTGTCGATGTTATGATACACTCAGATAGGCCTTCAATCATAATACCTTGCAGAGAGGCAATGTGTAAACAAAGTTAATCATTATCCACTTTATAAATATGGTCAATGGAAGTTGAAAGAAGTCGATAGAGAGAAGATGCATTCAGCCACACTTGATTGATATTGCTAAACTTGACAGAAGATAATCTCTAAATGGATGCTGCTTTAAAATTGTTTCATTGTTAGCAAAAACCTGTGGATGCTGAACAATGGTCAAAACAAAGACTGATATAAATGTATAAGGCTCGTGTGATGAAGGTGGAATTGTAAATATCTTTGAGGTACCTACCTTCTTCCGGATGTTCTCTCAAGTGCAAGTCAGTGTCCTTCGCAGAATCAAGAAGATCGTAGATTCTTTCATGATAAATTTGTAGATACGACAGATTTACAGAGAACTCGAAATCCTTGTCCGCGTGGATGCGCTCAAACAAGCTGGCAATCGTGGTATGAATTAACCCGTCTTCAGCTTGCACTGTAAATGTCTTACCTGGAAAGTTTAGGAATCAATCAAACAGAAATAAAAGATATGATTTCATCAATAATAAGATTATTCGAATTTGATCAGACATAAGGTAATTCTAAAAATAACAGCAATTCAAGTTGCGAGTAACTATAATAGCTCTTTAATCTGAAGATAGCACGGAAAAGCTGAAACAGTACTGATTTATTTTCGTCCAACACTCCTCAAAGTATAAACACAGGAGCCTATCAAACTAAAAGCTAAAAGTAATCAGAACTTTATATCCAGGAGCCGATGAAAAATAACATGAGAGAGAGCATACCAGCATTGATTGGTTTCTTGTTTGTGACCAATCACTTAGGTGAAGAATTAATGAGAGAATATTGTTTGAAGCTGATACAGAAAGAATTTGAGACATGATTACTTACCAGTGCCTGTTTGACCGTACACCATGAAACTACCATTGTACCCTTGCAGAACAGACTCGATTAAAGGCGTTGAAATCACACGGCACACCTTTAATGAAACAGCAGTCATCAAGGCTGGGTCAACTTAGTTTGAGAACATTACAAAGTACTCCTAGCATATCAGAAACTTTTATGTTTTTATCAAATTAAGATATGCTTTATTATATCTTTGATATCATATTTAAACATATAAATTTGTTTGATATATGAATTACTGCTTAAGAATTTCACAAACATTTGCAAAGTGATCTGTATCATGCAGTAGCTGAGAGTGTTGTTGAAACAATATTTCAAAACACTCTATCTTAGAAATTCTATTTTGCTATGTTGTTCCATCGTAAAACTGTTTTCGCGACATATTAGGACATGCACCGTGTATCTGCCTTTAATTTTTCCTCGGGGTTTATTACAAAACAAGCAGCTATAAGATATTGTGTATTGAATTGCAACTTCAGTGCCAAGTTTTGAAAATAATAATGCTCATAAATATCAAATCTAAAAAAATTGTAAAAATTTCTAAGAAAAAAGCATAATAATTATTATCATAATTATCAAAATAAGAAAAAACACGACTATTATATCTTAGCGAAATTTTCACCTCCTTGTTTGTTGTAGAAGGTGGGAACACGTGATCAAATCTGTAAGTCGTTTCTTGTTTTGGATCAATCAATTTTATCTGCAAAAGAAAACTTTCAAATTAAGTTCTAGTCTAGTGTAAAGAAACTTTTCAAAGTGAGAATTCAAATTTGTTCAGTGATCTCTTTCAAAATAAGCTTGTTGCATGTGACCACGTGACCACTGGCTAGCTATCTAGCTTTTTTATTGCTACTCCATGTTAAACGCCACCAGCTAGTTGGATATTGCAAAGACTTCAAAAAAGGAGTTTATATCTATTGGGGAGAAAAATAAGCAAAAATCTACTTGGGCTGCCATTGCAGTCAGTAAAAGAGCACTCGAAATGAAGGTAAATTCCCATCTTCTTTGGCTGCCACGAATTCAATAGTAATCTTATTTTTCCAGACAAATACTTATTTAAATAAAATGAAATAAGAGCATTCTAAGATCTAAACTTTATACATCATACAATCATCCCTGATCAATCATAGTGTCTATGTTATTAGCTCTTCAAGATAATGTTACTATAGGAACAGCTTCTAACAGATGCTAATTGTTCTGGACTTCTAACATTTTACCTCTCTGTCCGAAGGGAATTCAAGTGGTGACGCTGATTCGCTTGGTTCAGTTGCAAATGATGTCTCTGACGGCCTCGCTCTCACGAATACTTGCACCCTTGTGTCTAGGTGTGATAATGGTATGTTCATCAACATTATTTGTATCAATATTATGAAATTAGATGTTTATGAAATTTAAAGAAATAACTATATCGATCGATGATGGAAATTATAATCTTATCTTTATCTATTAGTGATGTTATATAAAATCGCAAATACTGCCCCAATATTAACCCCTATCTTTATATTTATAATCAGACGTTACTCCAAAGTTTTGCATCATAAATCCTATACAAAACTGGATACAACTCAATGTCATTCGATTCATTTTCGAAACTTTACCCAATATTACACTTTAAAGCAGCTATTTCTAAGCACTTTTCATGTCATTTTCATTATTGAGCTGTATCTCTTACATTGAATATCAAGGCGTCGGCACAATAACAAGTAAGACCCTAGATAGCAGTTTGGTAAACCCTTTTGGCGTGCCAAGGAGGCCTGAAACCTAAACAGAGATAACAATGAATCAACAAAATTTTTGGTTAGGGTTTAGAAATTTTTAAATAATCAGTCACTAGAATCAATTGAAATCGATCCTGTTTGCGCTTGCGGGGAATACATGAATATTCGTTTATAGAGACAGGGACACAGAATATAGGTCCAAGGGGTCAGGGCTCGAGCCGCTTGAGGAGAGTCGCCAACCCTCTCTAATTCAAGGGACAGGAGTCACACGATGTGGGTATGAAACTGTTCGATAGAAAATATTCTCACTGTTTCAAAACTTCTTTTGGGATGCTAGGCAGAAACATAGACAAATAAAAGCTAGTGACAATAGTTTTAACCGTATACCTGGTCTGACGGATGACTGGCTTGAGCTGACCGAATTCGACCTGGAACGACGTCGTGACTTTGGAGTTCCGGATCTTGACGTCGAATTTGAATTCATCTCTTCGTCTTCAGGAATCTCTAGCCTAGAATACGATGCACAAAGTGCAAATTCCTGTGATATATGGTATGTGATATGGTATGAAGTTATATAGCGAAACATCATTGCGTAAACAGCCATATTAGCATTTCATTTACCTCAATATAGCGGAACCCTCTGTTAGCAACACCTGACAAGAGTTAATGTCCACTACACTCTTTTTTCATAAGAACCAGCTCATTTTTGGCGAGGCTCGATGTTCTCGTATTTTGGATAAATTGAGGCTGGGGTTTCTTTAATGTTTGTATTCAAGCTTTGATTTTTCTACCTTTATTCACTATAAGTCGTTTTAAAGACCACAAAGCTAATAAAGTTACAAACAGAGACGAAGTTACAGAAGTTTGATGCAGGAAATCTCGTAAATAGATTTGTTGATGTCATCACTTGATGTTTGAAGGCCCCCTGAATAATTTACGTTCCCAAACCTTGGCCTACTTTTTATTCTAGTGCCTATCAAAAAGTTACTTTTAACGAGAAAATGCCATTTAAAGGATCCCTGCTTAATAGAACTCATATTTTGCAAGTTGTTATTTATATCAAAACCAAACACAGAATAAAGCTCATCGATATGTCTGAAACGATATGGAAGAAATTAAGAGATTATTTGTGCCTAACGCATGTTTTGATGATGGTTCTAGCTTTGTCCCTCAAGTGGGCTAGAAAATGTCTTACATTGATTCTTAAAAATGTTCCTCTCGCATCTTCAGTACGCTGCTCTTTTGATTACCAGGTATAGTAGTAATATGATAATGAAGCAAGCAATGCATTTCAAGGGTATTTTTGTGTTCACTTTCTAACTATTGAAACGTAAGAAAATACAAACCACATGGGAAGGCATTTTGCAAAAATAAAAATCCTATAGACTAAAATACAAGTAATATCTTGGTACGTCTTTAGGTAGTGTGTTGCTTTTTAAAGTCCAAAGAAATGTTTTCTTTATTTCCATAGCAAGCCTTCAGTAGCCTTGATTACATAAAGAAACGAAAGCTTAAGCGCCTTAATGAAAATCGAATTTTCTGTTACGATAAACATTAAATGAACGATGTTTAATGTCGATATATTGATTCCTGGTTGTACCTTAGTGTCTCTCCATTTCTGTCTTGCAATTCAAACCACATCTTGCTATGTCTCGGAACCTATTCAACAGCTTGTAGAACTTAAGAATTTAGTTCATCTCATTCCTTGACAGTTGTAGCTTTTTAGTGTCTAGTGCTTGCAGATATTCAATCAACCATAAGACAGACGCAGGCTTGTGTTTTTCCTGCGAAATATCTGATTCGCCGGCCTAAGGCTCAGACAACTTAAATCGTGTATTATGCTAATTTTGTGGGAGGCTTTTCCATATTCACAAAACAAAAATCCCCGTGTTAAAAGATTTGCATGAACATCGGAATAACATAATTTGTTATTGTTTACATTTAAAGATCTTAGTATATTCGGCGCACTCGTTGTACTAAATTATAAAATTTTCATTAGATTTGTTTTAAATTGAAGCTAATCATCTTACAAAACACCTTTTTCATAAAGATTTATTGTTAGCCTCTCATTTATATTAATCAAAACTTTCTCATAGATCGACCTTATTGGTTGAAATTTGTTTTCTCAAGTTGTAATAAAACTTTGAGGTTGCTACTATAAATTAATAGTTTTCAACGACTGAAAATACTTCACAGAATTTGTTTTATGATTCTTGTAAGATTTAACTTGCTGTGAGCCCTTTATATATTACATCTTTTTGACGAGACGCTCAAAGGGGACTGGATCGAGATTGGAGGAGAAGCTGTTCGTCGGATAGGGTTCGTTCATGCAATTTGTACTGCACGGTATCAACATCTCTTAGTTTTCGTGTAACAGGTAGAGAAGTATTCCTATTTTTCGGGCAACACGCGGGTTTATTAAACCAATGTCCAAAGATAAATCGTCATCCTGTTGTTTTTTTTGTAAAAGGAATTGAACAGAGCTCTAACAACACTTTTTTATGCCTGGTCGTAATGGCTGATGATAATTCAATATGTATTAATCATAAAAACACCCCCTTAAACATCATCTCTCAGCTCTATGTTTTGCAAAGGGCTACTTTATGCTAAAGCGTGATAAGGCGATGCACCAGACTCCCATCGATGTTTCCTTGCCTTACTTTTTCCTGTTAACCTAGAGGATGAGATGATTAAAGATATAGATATCCTAAAAGAACTTGTTAAAGGATAAAATTCGCTAATTGTTTTAACAAGGACGAGACTATAAACGCAAACAGCCAAAAAGTGGATTTTGCTAATTGTGATTGATGGGAGATTTTAACGAAAATTTGATTAATCATTGAATGTATTAATTTGTAAGGGTTGAAAACAATGTTTTACCTCAACTTTTGCTGATAACATTCAAATGAAAGAGAAGGCAGGTGTTGCAGGAAAGCAGGTGATTACTGTACTTTAAAAACAAGTAGTAGCTAAACCTCAGCGTACAAATTTTGCAATTCCACAATCAACGTTTCAGTTCGGTTACTGAAGACCAAAGTCTAATTACTGTTGCTTGGGAAACTGTAGCTGGTCTTTCAGAAGAAGGCCCGGCCACAATAATCATGTTGCTAATAATCCTTTACCGTTCTTTGCATAATTGTTTCCAACACCAACTTTCTAGGCATGGACTAAACCTATCGTCCTAAGTTTGAGCATATTTCCATAATTAAATTTTAAACAAAATTTTAAAATCCATTCAACACAGGAATTTCCCGAAATTTTTATTTGACTTTATCTCATGAATGTAGTTTTACCCTTGTTGTTCAAAACATGTTTTCCCAAAGCAACTGCAACAACTATCATGCTGGGCTTGCAACAGGTCAGCGCAAAGGGGCGTGGTAAACAGTGATCTCGCATTCTCAGCGTCATTCAACATGCGTAAAATATTAAATAGGCGAGTACTCTAACCGCCGATTCAGGGAAGCTCAATCAAAAGTAAATTAGGCCCTTTCGCAACCTCATTATGCTGTAATCAATTGCTGGTGCACCTCCACAGCCGTGAATTTTTATCAAGTCATCATCAGAGTTCTCCAAATATGTTTACAAATGTCGAAAACTGTTTTGGTAAACTTTCTTGTGTTTCTAATACTAAGTTTCGTGCAGCTGTACAAATCTCATATCTTTTGAAATTCACAACGCCATATTTAGCGCAATCAAGATCATCAAAGCATTATATGTACAAAGGTTTTCCCTTTACCTTAGGGTCAGAGCTTTCGATTAGGCCATTTTCATTCTTGTAACAGCCTTTTATGCATTTAAGGGCACCTAAAGCATATGTTCGAAATTGTAATACATGCAAGAATGGAACAACTGTTATCCTAATTTCATGTTGACTTTGGAAACTGCATTATTTCAACACTGCCTTTATCATAAAACATCATTTGCAAACGCAATATATGAAACGATATATACACACAAAATGGGTTTTCAGTTTTCTTGAGAATCAATAAATTCTATGAATCATTTCCGAGTTGACTTTTCAATAAAGATAACCCCGTCGTAAAAAGCAAGCAAAAACTAAGAAACTAGTGAACAATTAAGCCTTGCTGAAGGGAGCCGGGTCATGAATTGTGGCTCTAATTGCTTTCAAGCCAACAAGATTTGTTTGTTGGAAATTAGCAGTGTAATCGAACGATTGAAATACAAATATGTTTCGACATCCTAACCACTAAACACTTCCATAAATGCTTGCAATTTAACTAAATCAAGAAAATATTTACGCAGGTATAGCAGCTGTCACAAACTAACATTGCAATGTGCACAAAACTGGAGTATTTCTTACCTTTGGCAAATATTTCGTCAATGTGATGGAATGCCTTGATCCTCTTCAAGGTAGTTAGGCGACATCACATTAATACAGCCCGGTTACCAAGCCATAAGCACTGAACTCGGGCATTAATGAAGGCGAGTTGACAATATACGACTTTTCTGTGCTATTCCAGTCTGGAAATGCTCTGCGACAGGTAATACTTTGAAACCCGGCCAAGTCAAAATATCATTTCAATGTTTGACAGTGTTTTATCTTGCATGATCGAAACGTACCTGTTGTTTTGTGCGGAGAAGGAAACACAGACCACTCTAGGCTATTTCTCGAGAATATTACTATTAATTATTTACAACTTCCATCCCAGACTCAGCTTGAGACAATAAAATTAAAGGCTTGAGTACTTAAATATAAGTCTTTGTCCTCGCTGTTAAAGCCAAGGTTGAGTCGGTTAGCCCAAAAGCGACCCCTTGAACCTTTCTGCTCTCTTGCGCAAGTTGTAACTAATATTTAAAAGGTTTTAAGTATGGGTAATGATATACCAGCTATAGATTTTAAAGATTTATAGCGTTGACTATTGTAACCTGTCTTTTATCAAATTTCATTACGATGACTAAGTTTGCTGACATGATATGATAAATCCGAAAGTGCATTACCAGCCATCAAAAAGGCCTAAACAGCCCTCGAAAACAACAACTCCTACAGAGAATCCATTGAATGATACCATTATTCAAAAACATAAGCAAGATTCAGTTAATTATACAGGCTCTATATCAGTGGCGGATTTAAGGGGGGCAAGAAGGGGCAGTTGCCCCTCTCTCACCGAGTTGAAGCAAGTCTGGCGCCCCTTTTTTGTAAATTGTGCGCCCCTTTTTAAGACTTATAGGTTAATTTGCTTCAAGGATTACCTCAAAGTATACAACAATTGCTGTGAAAATTTCCCTGTAAAGTGAATAAAGAGCCTTCTGTCAGTAGTTAGGGTCTGAAGTTGTTGTATATAGCTTACACTCGTGAATATTTTTCAGCGCCCGCACTACCAACTGCCCCTCCTTCAAATTTGCTCTGGATCCGCCCCTTCTCTGTAACAAGAGATGCCTTCACTCATTGAATTTATAGGTTCTTTGAAACTATTTAAAAATATAGGATTCCCGACATATCATGCTTTTACAATACCCAATGGATTTAATACTGCATAGGAGGGAATTTTTCCTCTTGACAATTTCCAACAATTTCCAACAAAAGTGAACCACAAGGCTCCGATCCCCGTACTTCTAACAGGCATAACTTCTCTCTTGTTCTCCCGATAAAAACCCAAATAATGAATTATGCCATATTGCAGCTATAAATTATCGTCTGATTTCCTTAGAAAAATTGAAATTAAATTTCTAGCTCACAATTCTATGAATGACGTTTGTAGGGCATACAGAGCGAAGATTGTTGTGGAAGTGGCACCCGTTCTTAGGTCAACACCTCTTGGTAAATTAGGAATGAATTTTGATCCTCCAAAAGAATCAATTACAAGATCATATTATACCTTCTCAATCGTCAACTTTAAACGGAGACGTATAAACGTGCAGCCATTGTGTTGCGACGGTGACCAAATGTGAATTTAAATACTTATTTCTGTCATTGCCGTAGCAAACCAAAGGCTATTCTCAGAGTGAAAATCTGCTTTAAATGATGGGCCAATTTCCTGTCTGTCTGTATGTACAGCTCCAGGCTTTGATACATTTTCGTACATTTTCCTGTCTAAAATGAAGTTGTGTATTACACCAAAGTTATGATAAATCAAAGAGGTGAATAGGTATTCCAAACTTTTTCCACGGATACTTACTCCCACATTTCTTAGAAGTATGTCGTCTCCTTCTAAGAAACATCTGTTTGTTCAACTGTACGACGTAGACAGGACTGTTGCGATGTAACAACATATCCTGAGAACTTTCTTGCTTTCACTTTCAAGTTGTGTAATTTACAAGTTAAAGGTGAATTAAGGTCGTCTATTGAGACGAAAATGAATTGATCTTTTCTACACGAGGTCAGTTCCTTATAATATCAATGGAACACCCAACTGCTTCGCTTAATTCTTCTTCATTTTTGATAGTAGAGTAACAGCAGTTAGGCTCTTTTCTCTCCAAAAATTAAGTTGATCATTATAACTTTAGTAAACATAAGTTGTTTTGTTGTAAATGAATATTACTTTAAGAAGAATGATAGGAAATTTGACCGTGAAAATAGGATTCATTGTTTTATTTGTTCTAGCACTGATTGAAGCTACATGTTTGTAATGTGTGTAGGTGTGCAACAAGGCTCTATGTTGGGATCTTTCTACTGAATGGCAATATGTATTTAGCCAGTTACACAGACTAAAGCAGACGCATATTGCTGCAGATTTCTCTGCTACTAACTCTTAATGGGGTTGAAATGCAAGAAAACTTTCTGTTAGATCAAAATAGGATGGAGAATATGTGTATCGAATGAAAAATTTAAAAAATAAAAGGGTTTAAATGGTTTTAGATGGGAAATTACTGGATAATCACATGCAAGCATACATGAATTGGAAGTTGATGAGACAATCTATGTGTCACCAAAACATTTAAAAAAACTTGAATTTCAACATTTTCTTCCTGATTAGCCTTACTCTGATTCGTTTCCTGTTGAATGCTGCTGTGTTTGGTCTTAAGAGGATCTGGTACCATGGTTTTCTCATTGCTGCTCCAAATTCCCGTAAACACGTCTCAAATTATAAAGCATATAAAAAACCCGACTTAAGTTGTAGGATGAACAGTTCAAAGGAAGATAGCCGAACAAACCAAAGGCTTGCGAATGTTCTTATGGCAAAATTTGCATCACTAAGCCATATTAAGGCCACTTAGGACATGCGGTATTTGCAAAAGACGGTTTTTCAATATACTTTTCCTTTTGCTGGGTTTTTGCAACTTGGATTTGTATGAAATTAAGTCCTTATATATCATAAAATCGAGTTTCAATCCTTGATGACTCCTTTTTTGGTTTTTTCCAGGTTTCCAGAACCTCTTGGCGGCCCTGAACATGTTATCCCGTTTTCTTAAAGCTCCCCATTTCATATTTAAAGAAATACACTTATACACGCCTTTCAAAACTACTTCACTAGAGTAAAACACAAAGTTTACTCGTGCCAACGCAAAAAATATTGTTTTGCCCAAGTACAATTTGAAGCAGGCAAGCAGGCCTTTTACTTTCAAAAAGCAAATATTTTAAATAAATTAACAGATGAAATAAAGTGTGAAACTTCAATTTTAAGATTTAAGACTTTTTGTAAAAATTTAAACTTTGAATTTTAAGACTTCCTCTTCATCATGCATATATTTTTCATTTCGGTAATCGGTAATCCATGTATATTTTAGACAGGTCCTTTGCTGATGACAGCATGTTGTTGCTGACCAAAGTTAACCTGTATAGATCTGATATTATTATTATTATTATTATTATTATTATCATTACACTTCCATCTGAGACAGCCCGAAAATCAAAAGAATTAAAAATCTTATGCATGTGTTCTTTTGGCAGTAAATAAACTGTCTTGTGCAATCCTTGAAATTGCTTAATGTTAGTCTGAATCAGTGTTCTTTTCACTTTTGTGACAACTAACACGAACATTAAAAAATCATATACATACATACATACGCATACCAGGATCGATATTTCCTTTATAATAGTGTAATGAATGGGAACAGTACAATGGGGGTCACAAAGGGCAGCCCCCCCAATATGAATTTTGTTCCGACGGCACTGCATACACACAAACATATACTTTATGCTTCCTTTATCCTTTTGTAGGATCCTGGCAGTTTTACCATTTCTTTCTATCTAATGTTCTTTTTCTGTCTATTTATTTTTTCTATTTATACATTCATATCCTGAACATAGCTTTAATTGTCAAGCTACTTAGGGGCTCATTTCTTCTACTTCATGAAACTAATTTAAGGACCAAAGACCACATGGGCGTCCGGGTGTTCGGATTTCTTGCCAGGTGTTCGGGTGTTCGGATTTATTGGCGACATAGAGGCCTGGGACGAGATCATCTCTACAAACAAGATACATTTGTTTTGTTTTGGCGCTGCGGGCCTAAGAAGCTTTGTGCATGGAGAACAGGACTGGGCGTATCTTCTGTGCGTTTCAGGAAGCAGATAAATGTTCAGATGTATTTTGTTAGCCTTTTACTATCATAAATATGTCGCAAAATAGTTCTCGCACAAGAGCTGTTTCGAGTCCTCCACTACAGGAGGAGTCAGAGCGGGGCTCGGCCCTGCTGATGGCCAACAGTGGCAAAATTACGTATTAAGCCGTTTGCAAGAGAAACTTCCGCCTGAACCAATAAAAGTTGCTTGTTTGAGACCACCGGAGAACAGAAAGCTGGATATTGAAGAATACCACGGCAGAATTTCAAAAGATGAAATGATAAGATTATTGGATGGAAAATCAGGAAGATACTTAGTCAGGGATAGCACAACATCTGGTAGTTACACGCTGTCGTTTAATTTTGACGGAGATATTAAACACCAGAGCCTTATTTTAACTGACAATGGCTACAAAACTGATATGGCGGATTCTTCAGAATATAAAACTGTTCATGAACTTATGGTATATGTTCTCAGGCTTGGAGAACGTATGAAAAAAATGGAAGGAAGTAAAAAGAAACCATACCACAAACAACATGAATTTGAAAATCATACATACGTGCACCCTAAGTGGTGTGGTATTTGTGGGGGTTTTATTTGGGGTCTGTGGTCTCAAGGGCTGAAATGTGAAGACTGTGGAATTGGAATTCACAAGCATTGCAGATCCTCTGTAACTGATGCATGTGAAAAGGTTGTGCTTGGCCAGAAGCTATCTACAGCTCAATCGCCTACTGTTGACAAGGAAAAAAGAAAAAGAGTGTCTTTGCCAGATCCAAGAGAGGTATCTAAATCCAAATTGCCACAAAGGTCTCCAAATGATAAATTGCCATGTAATTATGAAAAAGAGTGTTTCAAATTTCTAAACTCGCAAGTACCACTGAACTATTTTGATAAGTTGAGTCCTCTTAACATTTGCTACTGTGATGATCACCAGAATACTGGAGAAACCAAGTTTCTACAAAACTGGTGTAAGTTTGCATTGGTGAGAAGCCCAAGAGAGCTAGTCAAGAAACTCAAGCCAGCATATTTCTCAGTTTTTCCAGGCAAGATTAAAGAAACCCTTGATGCATTGTCATCAGGGTCATTCTACCAGAGACTGAAATCAGATGAGCTGGTTGTCTTGCCTTCAATGGAAAACATATTACTAATGGAATCACATGAAACAGAAAATAATTTGGTTTGCACCGTACTGGAAGTTGGTGTTGAACCTGGATCATACACATCAAAGTCTGCAGTTAATGATGTTGTTAAAGGAGTTTCAAAGCCGAGCAGATTAGAGTACTGGGCAATCTCACCAGGGAATCAAGTTTTTAGTATAGCACTGCTTATCAAATTGAAGAAGACATAGCTTTTGCCTAGTGCCATGCTGGAATCACTGTTACACGTTTAGAATTTCTGAGAAATTGAACATTTAGTGGTCAAAGTCTCTGTCCTATTCTTACAAAATATAAAACTTCTCAGTAACTGATTTGACTACAGAGTGATTTAATTGAATTTAATGACACATAGATTGACTAATATCTTTCAGTTAGGTGTTAAATTCAAAATGGAATGCCGTAAATCCTCGAATTGGCCATTATATGGAGTATTTTCCTTGTAATTTATTTTCATAATTATTGTAATGATTGGCATCACAGTCACTATGAACAAGAGAAAGGACATTTTTTGTCTATAATTATCATAAATATTATTGGTATCATGGTTAAGATCCACATGTCCATGTCCACAAGTGGCAGTAAAAGCACTGAGATTGAACTAAGCCAATCATTGACTAATGATGTTAAAAGGAAAGAAAACTTTGTAATTTATTGTCACTTTGTATTGCACAAATTACATATCAGTTTTAGATGTTGTACCATGAAGTTTGGTTCTGTCTGGTCATTTTCACACAATTTTCCTTTTACCTGAATGTCTGAATCACCAGAGAACTGTCTGTTATTGTATATAATACTTTATACTTTATGGTTTTCTAAGTTGCAATATTTGATGCCATGACTAGTATATGGACTTACTCGCTTAATTACTTACATACTACTGGAAAGAAAATTGAAACTAATTTCATGCCATTGCTGGATCTTTATGATGCTGCCAAGAACAGCTTTTGAAATTGGTTTTCATGTCAGGATCAAGTTGTAGGGGATTCTTCAATAACAAATGACCGATTCATTAAGGTAGGGCTATAAATACACATCGGATTAAGTAAATGTCAGTACTCTATGCTAATTATTTATAATGTGGATCATTTACTAATCATTTTTATTTATCAGGGGGTTAATTAGTGAATGTTAATTTTAGCAAAAAGAATTCGCTACTTATTGACATTGCATCTTATTGACATGGATCTAGAGAAGATGAAGCATAGACATAGGAAGCAATTCAAAAGTGGGGGGAGCACAAAGTACCTTCATTAGTTACAAATATGAGGGTTGAATCAGCACTAAAAATCTTGTACACCTTTCATAAATTACCAAAAAAGGTCTCTAAAACCTCTTAAAAATTGCTTAAATCTCAAAATCTTTGAAATAAATTATGAAATCTAAGAAATCTCACCAAAAACTTAAATAGCTAAAAAATCTTGAAATCTTGAAAAGAAATCCTAAAATCTTGAAAAGAAATCTTGAAATCTCAAAACTTTTTGGCAGTGGCTGAAAGATTTGTCAAATCCCGGAACGTTCGAAAATCTTTATAAATGCAGTTTATAAATCAATATCTTATTATGAGAAAAGTGTTCAAATCAAGCACCCCTGCCTCTGCTCACCTGCTCAGAAATAGCTAGCCTCGATCTGACTCTGAATCTCGATGTGACGTCAAAAAAGTGGTGACGTCACAAAAATCTTTTTTAGTTTTTGAATTTTGACCATAACTTCCAAAAGAGCATTATAAAATACCTCTTAATGTACAAAATCAGTTGAATTTGTTAGAAATTGACCGAGATATAGCCACATAAGCACAGGCTCTTTTCCTATCAAACCTCTGTAATTTGGTCTTGGTTCATAACTTAATGAACCAGGTCTTTATGCCGTTTTAAACTAGGAAGTTCTAAAATAGATTTTTCATGTCGGCAACAAAACTTCAAACACCAACATAAAAAAGTTCCATTTTAACATCAAGTTTTGAATCATCTTAATCAAATTTTGACGGTAACCTTTTGCTCTGAAGCCCCGTATGCCTGGGCAAAATATTAGCCTTTACTGATTTACGTGTATTTATTGTTGTTTATTCTCGGCGTATTGCGGTGTTTCATTTTGCTACAACCACTTTAAAGCAGCAATTTCATCCTTGCTAGAAATTCGTTTTTGTTTGGTGCACACGTTCCGAAAAAATCTATTGCATAAAAAACAAACTTTTTACTGTGCACTGTTCGGTAACAAAGTGTCACCTGAAAATCTTAGTTTTAGTAATCAACTTCCTAATTCGTAGAATTTTCAGTTAAAAGGCCAGAATCTTCTGATCATCCCGTAATCTACTGAGAAATCCAAAAATCTCCTGCCTCAGCATGAAATTTTCAAAATTTCTAAATCTTTCTCGTACGCTTTTTTGGGAGTGATTCACCCCTCGTACAAATATGTACTTTACCTCTGTTTCTCAAAAGTGGAGGGGTATTATATAATATGGTTTGTCCAGCCAAAGTTAGGCCTGACATCAAGTTGTGGTTTGCACAATTAAAAACCGTGTATAATTGAAGAAAGTTCTCATCTGACCCAGGGTTGCCATAATGGCTTTTCAAATCAAATTTGGTATACCATCAAAGCTCTATTAAGCCCCAAGGAAAAGCTTATTAATTTTTTCAGTCTCAGAGGGGAGCGGCTTTAAAGAGAGGGAGGCTTATTAAAGAAGAGGACTCGTTAAAAATTCGAAGTAAAATATGTTTTAAAAATTCCCATGTCAATTTTTGTTATTAAAAATGTCATACAAATATTCTCAAAAAACATTGCTCAATGGAGCTTTGACGGTCCTTCACTTGTTTCTTTGGTTTGGCCTTTACAAAAACTTCCGCTTGACCCATTTCTTATTTTTTGACTTTTTTTATTGGCCTTTTTTACAATTGAGCTTTTCCCCTTGCATTTCTTATTTATGGAACAATGAATGCCCTTCTGACCTCATATGGACATATATATACAGAAGCAGGACCGCGGAGTATATCACTGATTGCGGGGGCTTTTGGGGGAGGGGCTAAACATGCTAAAAAGCAAGAGCAGGTGATTTTTTGTAAGGTTTAGTACAAATTCAGAAATTATCGAGAGGCTAAGCCCCAACCTCCTTCCTTTCCCCCTTCCCTTCACCCTTCCCATCCCCCTTCCCATTCCCACTTCCCCGTTCCTCTTCCCTCTTCCCTTCCCCTTCCCCTTCCCCTTCCCTTCCCTCTTCCCTTTCTGCCCCCTTTCCCTGCCCCTGCAGACAACTAATATTGGTTTCAACAAAACCCTAAAGCAACCCTATATTTGTGTGAAAATTTCGAGCTTTATGTTGTACAGAAGTGTTAACTTTCAGAAATAAATTCTTGGTTTGTATCCTACCTAACATACCGGAAGCAAATTTCATTCATTTCGATCTGTCAGGTTTTTTATTTTATTCACGCGCTCAGATAGGATCCACGCTCTCGTCCGGAGAGAACGGAAGTGGTTCACTGGCAAGGCACCTTGACTTCAGCGCTATTACAACCATAGTCTATGTTACAACCAAGGATTCAGAATATGAGCAGCTTTCTCGTTTCAAAGCAGCTTTGGTTTTTACTTGTAATCGCTGCTGTTGCAACAATTACACAAGCAGGTGAGTTCACCAATTGTAGAGTATAGCAGCTTTTACAAACAAGATATATTTTTATCTTGATACAAACTATCTTAGGAAATACAATACATTGTTTTGTTTTGTGATGAAACCACGTATAGCAATAGAAAACCTAGTAGGGAGGTGGGGCCTAGTAGATTTTTCTCGAAAATTTATTTTAGATAAGATAAGAGGTCAACTAGAATATCTTTCGATTTGCTACATAACCAGTAGTTGTTATTGTGTGGTTTTCAAATAATCCCAAAAGTTAGGATAATCGCCCTTCGTCTTCTGAATGCTCTGCTCTAGTGTTGTTTGTAAAAAAGAAAGTCAACTTCACTCGATTGGTACGCGACTGTTGGTTTCGTGGAGTTTGCTTTCTCACATCAACATCATCGTCAACATCTACATTGATATTCATCATATCATTAAACAAAATATAACACCTAGAAAATGGACAAAAAAGGTTCCCAGTCAAGAAGAACTGCTACTATATCATTCAAATTTGCTATCCAAATTTGTTAACTATCCAAAATTGCGATAGAGTAAACTTGCAAAAAAATTTCTAGCCTATTATTGCAAAAAGTTTGGGGGTGGTCTATAGCCTCTGCTAGCCCAGTGGCTGCGCGGTGCCTGTTCCTTGATGAAGGTAAAAAAAACGTAAATGACTTGAAGATTTCTTGTTGGCACTGAATAAAAAAACCAGGCCTTACTCATGTAAAAGTGTGCCTTGTGTCCATTTTCCCTAAAGCTTTTTCGGTAGAAGTATCAACTGCAATTCACAATGAGCTCTAGATCGTTTTTACATTCTAAAGGAATGCCAAGATGGAGAGGGGGATAAAAATTGACAACAAGTGTTGTTTGTTACCTGGCTTTAGAAGTAACGCAACAACGTGGGTATTTTCAAGACCACGGTGAAATAGTACCAGTTGTTTTCATCTGCTGTTCAATTCAATTCAATAGGAAAAGGAGGATAGCTTTGGTAAAATTTGCTTAAAAGAGTGCATTTTCCAGGGAACTAGAATTATCAAAATTCGAAAATTTTCTGCTCCTTCGGCGACAACCGTGGTGCCGCCTCGGGTTGTAACTACATCCTTTGCCCGTCCCGAAATACAGATTTGACAAAGAGTCTTAGGAAAGGAAAGTTCCTTATCATAATTAGGTTGACAAAATGTATCGCAGAGGTTTGTGTCAGCAACTAAAGAATTTCAGGTAATTATTTTCTAACCAGGTAAATTCGTAGTCCAACTCCCCCCCCCTGCCCCCCCACCCACAAGGCTTTGGTGTGCCTTGCGAAGGCCCTGGAAGCCGCCATTTACCTACTGACCTGTTACCATGCGGCATCAGAGTCAATAGCAGTCATGGTAGAGTTCGGCATCGTAAAAATTTACCATCACGAACTCTAGAGATCGCCGTCGTAGAATACCAGACACAGAGATTACCATTAGAGACATATATGAAAAAAGCTTCAGGTGCTATTTTACCTACCGATATGATTTTACTGACCAACAAGAAGATTTGTGGACTAACTGAAGAATTAACGACTATCTCATTAGGTATTTGGGGGGTAACATTCCTCCTGCACTCCACTGCTAGCTACGCCTTTGTTGATTGCCTATTTCTGTCGCTTTCATTCTTTTCAGGCACATACTTTTGCACAAGTGTCTTTTGTTACTTTTTGTATCGTCGATGATGTGCATTGCACAGTTTTAATTGAATCGATTTCAATGAATGAACGTGAAGAGCTGTCCATTCGGTGGAGCCAAAGAGAAATTGGATGTGTCCATTAGTGTACTGAAGTAGAGTTATGCTTCTTAAATATCAATAACCAGCTCTGTTGTCTGTTGAAACTTTTCATGGACACGACGAGAAGACGATTAAAGTGATTGAAGGCACATGAAGATATCGCAATTGCTTTTCTTATGTAAACTGGGCATGCGTAGTTCGAGGGCTGTTTTGCTCGTGATTGTACGCAGTACCTAAATAAACATACGGTCAAAATAGAGAGCCAAATTATAGAAAAAATAAATGAATACTACCTAAGTCAGCTAATGATATCCGAAAACGATACAAATAAGAAAATTTAAAGAAAAATAGCTACAGGGCCTACAGGGTGACCAAGATTTGGGCAATATGTCGATTCATGAAAAAAACCCCAATGCTTTTAATTTGAAAGGAAAAGTGTAATGGATGGTGCCATAATACTAGAAATAACATACGGTGTTAAAAACATGGAGACTGGCATAAATTGGCAGTGGCACAGAGAGGCATGGGAAGAGAATGCTTAACATCAGATGCCGAAACAAAGGGATAAATGAAAGTTTAGGATTACACACTAAAAGTTTTGATGGGAAGAGAATGCTTAACATCAGATGCCGAAACAAAGGGATAAATGAAAGTTTAGGATTACACACTAAAAGTTTTGATGTTGTAGGGGACTCGGGAAAATATGAGTGGCAAATGGGGAAGCCATGTCGCCTGGATGGAAACAAAAAATGGACAAGCAAGATCACTGAATGGATACCACTTTCAATAAAGTTGATGCGAAAGACTTACAAAGGGACGAAGAGATTGTCTGCAGAACAGCACATATATCACTAAGATGAGAGGTACATAAAGTGCAATCCGAGCAGCTTAATGTTCAATGCAGAGATGTCCTAAAAAGGCACAAAATATGATGCTAATAAAATCTAAAAAGAACTGATGAAACGCTGTTTTGTTTTTCTAGCTTTTCGTTATTCTTCCTAAAAATTTATATGACGGCCACTGTTTCGAATCAGCAAAACTTACATGTATGGTTATAGATTGAAGCGTAGATTTTGAATTTTCTCCTTATGAGGGGCCCGCTTTTCAGGTTTCTGAAGGGGCCCGGGAGGCTAGGATATTTTGGGCAATGGCCCTGTTTAATGACTGTTAGATGACCTTTTTCCGCAATTCAGATTCAATAACTTTTTGCTTATATTTTTGCTTTGCTGGCCGATTGCTGTGTGTCAACTTGGTTATAATTGGAGATTTCACTGTTCACAGGGACAACAAAAAGTAATGTCACAGTTATGACGATCATGCCGGGGGGTGTTGCAAAGCTGCCTTGCACTTTGGAAGGAGGTATGTACTTTAACCGGATCTGGCTGAAAAATGGTATTAGAGTTAAGTTGGATAGACACAGGAAAATCAACAAGAAAGGAAGCTTGGTTATCAGAAGTTTTGACAGGAATGACAAAGGAATATATGTCTGCAAGACAAATAAGGGAAGAATCATTCAACGGATTCTTTTACGATATTACAAAGGTTAGTTGTAATGTCTTTATCCTGTACCGTGCATGTTTATGTTTTGCATTTAAAAATTATGTTTTATATTTTGTTCAGCTCCTACCCTCTATGTAAACATTTTTGATAAATCACTTTCCCTAAATAAGACCCTAAATAAACATTTTTTCACAACAAAATATAATATACTCAAGTCTATGGTGAAGATAAAATTGTAAAGTGAATAAAATTGCTTTAAAAAGAGTTGTTTATTTGAAGACTTTCAGATAATTTTAACAAACCCCCCACCTCATACCCTTTCTTTAACCTTGTTACTCTTGACCTTGCTTGTGGTTTAGTCTTGTCTCGAGCAGTTAGAAACATTGTATTTGAAATGATAACCGAACACCTCTTTACCTATCACACATCCTGCCTCTACCCTTTCTGTTCAGGACCTTTGACTAAATGTTCTTCGAATAGAGATGGATTGCATTCCTACAACCCCCAGCCCCCCTCCCCCAACAGAATAAACGATTCTTCTGCTTTCGTATGATTTAGGAATAAAAGGAAGACCACTGTTTCGTCGTTTCCAAAGCGAAGTAATTAGGGTGAGAGTCTCTGTAGTTAACAAGCGCGTGAAATTCGAATGCAAAGCCGAAGGGACCGATCCCCTATCATACCATTGGCTGAAAGACGGCAAGCCATTAAGTGGGCGCAAGTACAAGGCTGACCTGTGTAAGTTAAGGATTAAGAACCTCGTGGAATCAGATGCGGGCACATACACGTGTGTTGCTTCGAATGTTTATGGCAACAGTCTGTGCAGTTATAGACTATTGGTTGTCAGTAAGTATGTAATTTATTTTCAATTTTGTCTGACGTTCTGGCCCACGATCTAAATCTATCTTCGATTTTAGTCTCTCAAAACTTTCACAACAAATTAAGTGTCCTGTTATTTCGCTGTAGCAATTCTTCGCAAGCTTGGGGGGTACCTTAGGTGCATAGGTCTCCATCATTTAGTCTCAAAACTATAGTTCGAAGTCAGTCACAGAAATATTTTTAAGCGAGGATTGTCTTTGCCACCGCAGCCGTCTACAACATTTTATCCCCGGATCCATCAGGCTCTGGTAACCAGGGTGTTAAGGAGTTTACAATTGTACAGGCAGGGTGCAATTATGATTTGATTTGATTCTTAAAGGCTCTTGACCAACTGGCATGCTTTGCGGAAGCTCTTATTTAACACGAGATGAAGTTGGCCATAAGGGCGAGACCTAACCTTCTCAGAGACTCCCCTTTACCCTCCCCTTTACCCTCTGCAGTTCCCTTCTCCATGCTAAAAGATTCCAGTACTTCAGAATTGTATCAAATACTTGGGTCGCGACTCTCGCAAAAACATGCAATTATCCCTTCTCCCATTCAAACCTGATTTTAAAAATGCTGCTGTTGTTGTTGCACGTCGGCTAGGTAAATTGATTATAATTGGTAATTGAAAACACAAGCAATGCAATTTACCTCGTCTGATATTGTTTCGCTACCTATCTCTTCTTTTAATCTACAAGACAAAACAAATGCATGAAATACTATATTATGTCAGATATTCTGTAGTGAATTTAGATTTTATGCTTTGATGTCAACATGCTGATTCTAGGCCCTTATGGAATCCCTTCCCACGTAATTTTTTGGATGCAGCGGAGTTCGAATAGGTTTTAAAGTGTTACACCCCTGCACCTTTATAGACAATCATCAATGAGCAACAATAATTTGGGAAATCATATGGAGACAGCCTCCAGCATGGACATTGTGCGTAGAATGTTTTGGGGAGCTTATTGTGGATCGTGCCCGATTAGTATTGCTTCATCGAGATAGTACTGCCCAAACCTGAAATGTGATAAGTTTGGCCCTACGTCTCCTATTCCTATGACCTTCAACTTGTAACTATCTTTTAGTAACAATTGCATCGCTAAGACATTATTTAGTTACACACCTCTGCTAGTTACACACCAACCTTGATGACTATGCAGCTTGTTTTCATGATTGTCAAATAATTGCATCGCTAAGACGTTATTTAATTTTGATAATTTGCTTCATATTTAGAAAATCCGGTTATCAAGCCTTCTCTTCAACCCGGATTCCCGAAAAATACACCTAAAAATGTTGGTGAAAACGCTTCGATGGAATGTTTCGACCTGTTTAGCAGCCAAATGGTTCATTTTCGATGGTTGATGTGGCTTACTAAACCAAACAAGACCCTGGAGAAGGACGTATACAAGCTAATTTCCAACAATAATTATACACGTTACTTTGAGTTGGTCAACCCTTCACATTACGAATCATTGAGAAAAGATGTAGGGAATCGTTTCTTGTCTGGAGTTCGCATGAATCTGTACAACGTGACTAAAAAGAACCAAGGCTATTACAGCTGCGTCATGTGCCATCGAGGGGGGTGTGCTGTTAACACAGCCAATTTGACTGTGTTTCAATACAACGGTATGTATTTGTTTCAGTTCTATCTTAAGGTGCCTCAGAGCCTTTCCTGGCTGATACTGTTTACAAAATTCTGCGTCTCCAAAGCCTTTACGCTATCTAACCGTCTTCCACACAGAGAAAAGCTGCAGAGTTATGCAAATGCACACTCGAGACCAGTTAGCGCTGCCCGCCGAAATGTTAAGACTGCAATCAGATTTGACAGTTGTAGTTGCATGCCATTTCATCAGAGAAGAGATTGTCACGCAGCGCTTGTGGCTGAAAGGATTATGCAAATGCGTCATCTTGCAGGGAACTGTCGTACTCTGCAGGTGCACACTCTGATGCGCCAATGGCTGCAAGTTTGGCTTCAAATGACTAACACCCCGTTTACACGTTTAGACTACAGAAAAAAGAACGGAACTCTTAGGTTCCATGCCTGAAAAGCGACGATAGGCCTTGCGTTTACACTAAGCATCTTGGTTCCGTGCTAGTTTGGGAACAGTTCCGTTCTTCTTTAGTTTCACTAAAATGCAAAACTCTTTCCGTTCTGGTTCTGTCCAGGAACGGAACTTTTTGGTTACGATTGAAAACGGGGCTTAATCTAGGTGAGGCTTTAAAAAAATGTCAGACGTCAAAAATGTCGAAGTTCCGTTGCTTTTTTCTTCAGTGTAAACGCGATAAAAAAAGTGGTATCGTGCCCAAACAAGAACGGAACCAAGAGTAATGTAAACGGGGTCTAAGATTCCGAAATTTACTATTTTTGAAACATTCAAAAGTGTGCAAAATTGTTTGCAAAATTTTTCCGTTTTCTATTGTATTTATGTCCCGAGATAAAATGGTTGGGCCAAGCTTTCCAGTTTCCCGCGAGCATTCCTTCATTTTATCTTAAAATATGAGAAATTTCCATTCTCGTCAAAAATTTTAGACGCAATACTAAGACGTTTCATTCAAGATGACACCAGAGTGTTTGAGGGAATGAAGGTGTGGGATAGTAGCAAATAATTGTCAGAGATTTGAGATACTTCTTGATATTAACTTAGTTTTCTCCAGATACTTGCTTTGCTTCAAGATTCATTGTCTTTTGAAATAATTATGATTTTTTTAAGTAATTGTTTTTTTTCAACACTTTTTATCGGCGATACTTTTCTCTTCTTCAATACATGCCTGTGCAAGATAACACGCACCTTTTACATTTTGCTGTTTGCAGGGACAACCACAGTCATGAAGATTAAGCCAGGTAAAACCGCAAAGATGCCTTGTATAATGAATGGCCTGAAGCACTTTGAACCCAACTGGCTGAAAGATGGTAAGAGAGTTGAGATGGGCTGGAAAAGGAAAATCAACCGGAAAAAGTTATTGGTTATTAAAAGCTTTGAAAGCAGCGATGTAGGACTGTATGTCTGTAAATCACATAGTGGAAGAATCATCCATAAGACAATTCTGCAGTACAAAGGTTAGATCCAATTTCGATCTTATTTCGACAAAGGAAAGTATATAACTAGGACATATTTGATTTAGATTTGAACACAGAAAATATATTTTTATCTGCAAGTGTATATCATGATTCAAATCTATCGGTATAATGTATGAAAATTTATTTTTGTACAGTCTGTGCCTACATTATATAACTATTAACTGTTCCATTATAATTATAGTTTTAGAAACATGAAATTGATAGCTTTTAAAAGTTTAATTTCCTGTATACTAACGTTTGTTGATCTCTTCACCAACAGTTAGTAACTCCAATATTTCATCTTCGCTTATGTATTTACTAGACTAGACGGAGAATGAGGTAGGGGTAACCTGGGGCCGAACTTTATTAGATAATGTTTTGCCGGGGTAGAATTTTGTGCTGAATAAGAAAATCTTTGGTAAACTTACGGTACCCGCTGCGTTTACCATATATGGGCATTTTTCGAACCGGGGGTGTGGTAATCAATTATTTCGCAGAAACATATCTTTCTCGGTGTTAAACATCATTTATACCATTTTTAACACTGCTTTGATGCCCCTTTTGTTAATTCTACCAAGTAGCAGCAAGTTAAAGGAATCGTGGGGGGGGGGGGCTAAGAGTGTGAAGACGGGGTCACAATCTTAGATTCTTCATCCTCGCTTTCATCGCTGCTCTCATCATTGCTCTCTTCTCCAGCGAAAATTTGCTCTACCTCTTCAGGGAAAGCAGCATTTATCCAGACTATTTTTCCGTCTGCAGACCATCCATCTTGCCCAAGATCTGCAAAGTTAATATGCGCTTGTAGGCTGGACCTCCACACTTCTGCGATGTAGTTTGATCGCTGGCAATGCAAATGCAATGATTGTCGACATGGAAGCAGCAAAGACAAATCTTGAATCTTTCCTTTTTTTCATAAACATTCTTTGAAGATCTCGTAACGAACTGCATTTAGGTCTTTCTTTTCCTTTCCAAAAATGTTACAGACATACTCCTTCAATTTTGAAAGCAGATCGTCATCAATACTCCACTCAGCTCCTAGCCGCGAAAAAACATGAACAAACCTATTACTTTTTTCAAGGACTTGCCAACAGTGACTCTTTGACTTGCGAAAGAAGGAAGAGACATGTGTCTGCCACAACACAAGAGCATGAAAATACATTGCAACCCTGCACCTATTACATATAATAATACTATATATACTTAAACTAATAATACTATTAATACTATAAAAAAATTAATTTACAAAAAATCACAAAAATTGCATAAGAAAAAGACGGAGAATGTCACCGTGAGCCGTCCACGCAAGGAACCCAGAGTGGGACCTTGAATGAGCCAGGATCTCGTTAAACAAGGGGAATCTTGTACCAAGAATTTGTCTACCTGAGGTTGTCTTGGAGTATTGGTCCTTAAACAAACAAGGGTCTGCAGAGGATTCGATGCGCGGAGAGCTCACAGTTCGTTTATGATGACGTAGAGATGGCCAAGGCTCAATCAAAGCGTTCAGTGGCATATTTATATTTTAATATAGCCTCAAGGATCATAGTGTTTGACATAGGTGGCAACCTTTCGTCACCATAGAGAAGGATTTTTAGAAGCGCTTGATTTGAAAGGTTTAATAAGCCCTGAGGTTGTAATATATTGTTAGCAGTATCGAAAAGATCTTTTCTTTGCACATCGTAGTTATGGCAGAGCAGCAAAAAGTGTTCCGTATCCTCAACTCCATCGTTGGTTGGGCACATTGGATTTACTGTGTCTTTAAAGTTATGCACAAATTTGTGAAGATTTAGACCACACGAATTTTACTAAAACCCACATGAAGTTGTTTTAGAATTGCTAAGCCTTTCGGATCGTGGATGCTGTAGACTGGGTGGGGTGGGGTTTCTTTTTGAAAATTCCCAGAGTTGAAGATTGTCTCAACTCCGGGTCAAGTTTATTCTATTCCGAAAGACATAACAGTTAGGGTAAAAACTTGCGCCAAAGCTCTTCGTTCTTGCACGTATTTGCCCAATTATAACTGGTTTACGAAGGCCATAGTTGGATTGTGGAAGGGGTGGAATAGGTTGCCTCGTACACTCTGGTGCTAGGTTGTTAACAAACTTGAAAAATTAGACAAGACTCCTGCTCCAACGTCTTAGGTTAAGCGATTTCCACCCAAGCTCCTCGTACAGTTTATCCCGAGATGTACCTTTCCATGCACCAGTTACTGCTAGTGCTGCAGAGTATTGAACGGATCAAAGTTTTTCCATCTGATGATTCCATTTCAGACTTTCACAATATGCGCACTTCGTGGCCGGTATGTGATAAATAACGTCACCGTAGTCTAAATGTGTTCTTACGTATAGTTTATAAAGCTCGT